GCTGCTATTACGTGCTGCTATAACGTGCTGCTATAACGTGCTGCTATAACGTGCTACACCACTATCTCGCTCTCGATAGTGCTGCTATTACGTGCTGCTATAACGTGCTGCTATAACGTGCTGCTATAACGTGCTACACCACTATCTCGCTCTCGATAGTGCTGCTATTACGTGCTGCTATAACGTGCTGCTATAACGTGCTGCTATAACGTGCTACACCACTATCTCGCTCTCGATAGTGCTGCTATTACGTGCTGCTATAACGTGCTGCTATAACGTGCTGCTATAACGTGCTACACCACTATCTCGCTTCGCTCGATTGTGTCGATAGTGTCGATAGTGTCGCTACCAAACATCCACGCTACCACATGGTAAACTTTTCAAGGCAAAAACAAAAGTTGAAAAACTTGTCCTAATAAGAAAGACTTTTGCAAGTAAAGGGCCTGGTGAGATTGTTGTGATATGCCCTCTGCGTCCAGTATTAATGATTTAGGTTCTTCGGAAGCGGGTGCTAAAGTTGTGTTTGGTGGGCTTCAGCTGTTTACGCCTAGACAAAAGTATTCGGGAAAAATTTCCAGTAGTGGTCTACCGTATAATCAGATGCTCAAAGTGGGCCACCAGAAGGTGAGCATTGATGTTGACCTCGCGTCAAATTCCATTGAGGGAACAACGGAGATAACTGTGTTTCCCCTATCAGGTAAGCTCAAGGTAGTGAAGCTAGATTGTCGAGAAATGAAGATCAATGCTGTTTACGTGAATGGGATACGTCACACTAATTTCATCTACGATGATGTGTTGTACATGAACAACCCGGAACAATTTCAAAATCAAGACGGCGACAAAGGCGGCGACGGCGACGGCGACAGGGATAGAGACAGAGATAGAGACAAAGGCGGCGGCGGCGACGGCGACGGCGACAGACACAGACACAGACACAGAGACGCTGACAACCAGCTAAATATCTTTGACCTTTATTCCAGTAGAATCAGCATACATCAGGCCCATTTCATTAAACAGAAATTAAAGTACATCTTCCAAGAGTCTTACGGATTAGATGAAGAAGATTCAGCAAACGCAATAATTGGCAATACCCAGGAGCTCAAAATTTTGTTACCTGAAAATATGAAATTCGAATTAACGGATATAAATAGTATAGGAATAGGAACTCCTCAAGGAGGGAGCCAACCAGGAACAATAACCCCGTTGCACCTAAAGTCAAAAGCCACTGTAAGTGAAATATACACGCCGATACAAATAAAAGTTGAGTACGAACTTAAAAATCCCCAGAATGGTGTAAATTTTGTTACCAATGAGGACATTGAAAGAAAAATGTGGCATGCATACACCACTAATTCCGAGTACAACGTGTCAACGTCTTCTTGGGTTCCATGTATCGATAATTTGGGTAGTAGGAACACTTGGTCTATAGATGTGAGCATTCCACGAACCTTGCGAGATATTGGGAACCCCAGAATAATTGGAACAAGAGAAGCTCGACAGTATCGGAGAACCGCAAATAATTCAATGGACAAAAACAAGATAAATGAAGATGATGAACAAGATGATGAGGAGGACGAGGACTCTGATTTGGTGGTATGCTCTGGTGACTTCAATAATGTAAAAGAGACTCCTCATCCAATTGATTTGTCCAAAAAAGTGGTTTCGTGGTCAATTTTCAATTCTGTATCTGCGCATCATGTTGGTTGGGCTATAGGGAGTTTTGAAAGTTTTGTGATATCTGCGGGCGGTTCTACAAACGAAAACGACGATGGAGAGGAAACTGATGGTTTGAATGATGTTGGCGAAAAGCAAAGCGTTAGCTGTCCTGTAACAATATACGCATTGCGAGAAGACCTTGAGTTGGCAAAAAACACTTGTGTTATGACTACCAAAGCCCTTGGATTTTTCCTGAGTGAGTTTGGATCTTTTCCCTTTGCATCGTACAGTATTGCATTTGTCAAATTCTCACCACAGCAGAGTAACTCGTTTGCAGGTTTGTCTCTTATGTCCACATCCCTTCTTTATCCACCTAATCTCATTGAACCGATGTTTACCACCACCGACATTTTACTACAGAACATTGCCAGTCAGTGGTCTGGTGTAAATATTGTTCCTCAGACCTTCAACGATATGTGGTGTACTTTGGGCATAGCAGGTTATATGGCCATTTCATTTATCAAAAGGTTGATGGGAACGAACGAGTTTAGATATAAAATAAAAACATTAATGAATCAAATTGTTCAAGAAGACATTAATCGCAGGCCCATTGGTAATCAATTTTTGAAATTTCCGGTGTCTGTATCGGATTTTGATTTTGTTAGACTAAAGGCACCGATCATCTTTTTCATTTTGGACAATAGAATGACCAAAACCGATAAGTCCTTTGGAATGCTAAGAGTAATGCCAAAATTGTTTCTTCAGGCTATGTCTGGAGAGTTGCCAAATGGCACTTTGAGCACAAATCATCTCCAGCATGTATGTGAAAAAGTCAATCGCAACAAGTTGGACGCCTTCTTTAAACAATGGGTGTATGGAGCAGGCACACCCAGCTTTATAATAACACAAAGGTTCAATAAAAAGAAGGGAATGCTTGAAATGATTATACGTCAAGTGCAACATCATCAAAATAAGGAAAATAAGTTAAGGGCGGAAACTTTTATGGATGAAGCTCTTTGTTACTTACACCAGGAGAAGCGAACGCCACCACAAAAACAGCAAACGTTTACTGGTCCGATGACAATAAGAGTTCATGAATCTGACGGTTCCCCTTACGAGCACATAATTCACATCAAGGAACTAAAAACAACGATTGATATTCAATTGGCCAAAAAAATACGTAAAATCAAGAAAAAGGATGAGGGTGTTGATCCAGGTATTCCTTTCAATCAGTTCGGAGATATTCTACCAGTTGGTAGTACCAGTCTGTTTGTTCTTCAGGATTGGGACAAGCGTGACGAAGAATCATTGAGTACTCTGCCTTTTGAATGGATTAGAGGAGACGTTGATTTTGAATGGATTGCAAAAATAGACGTGAGACAGCCCGATTTTATGTATGGTTCTCAACTCGTTTATGATCGGGATGTAGAGGCACAATTGGATGCAATTCAATATTTTGGATCAATAGAGAAACCTACGATCATCTACTGTACCGCATTAGTACGCACATTTCTAGACGAGAGGTACTTTTACGGCGTAAGGATTACCGCGGCACAAGCATTGGCCCTGTGCTCTAATCAATCCAATGGTTTTCTTGGAGTCAAATACTTGGTTCAAGCATTTAAGGAACTTTACTGTTTTCCTGGAAGTTCAATTCCCAAGTCGAATGACTTTACTGATATTAGATCTTTTTTGATCCAAAGAGCAGTCCCTGGCATATTATGTCAAGTAACTGATACGGACGGTAGGGTTCCATCAGATATTCAAGAGCTCCTTTATAATTTGGTGAAATTCAATGACAACTCCATGAATGAGTTTCAAGATTGTCTATATATGGATGAATTGATTAAGGCTTTGACAACTAGTGTGGTTAATGGGTGGCGCAAGGATGCTTCAAGCAGCGATAACAACCACAACAGTAGCAGCGGCAGCAGCAGCAACAACAACAACAACAACAACAACATTGAATTTGCAGAAAAAGTGAGCGCAGAAGTCAACAGGTTGCAAAAGTTGGATGAGTGGAGACCATCGCATCACAGGATAGTACAAATCACCTGCGTGAAATCTAAAGTGAAAATGGCACTAGCGGGAGCAATGTTTATTTCACTTGAAAGTCTAATGATGATGACCCAAGACAAGTTTCCCATGGAGAGCAGAGTCGAGTCATTCAAAGGACTCTTGTTGCTAAGTGGCATGAATGTGCCTGAGATTCTCAATTACTTTTCAAAAGTCACTTTGCTCAACTTTTCTAGGCCTCTGTATAAAAGGAAGCTCATTGAAACATTTATTGAGTGTTGTAATTTGATTGCAGTACATGGTAGTTTTGCTCCAGAAACCAAATCTGCTGCTGATCTCAGTGCCAATAGTAATTATTCGCGTCTGGGTATGGTTATAATTGACGAAAGCACTAGTTCTAATATGAAACTGAAACATGATTTAATAGCGAGAGCAACGATTAAAGGATCGATCGACGTGTTGAGACGCGACTTTGCACAAAATCAATTCTTGAAGCGTGTTCTTTGGGAGTTACTCCATACATCTTTGCTTAGTACTTTTGAAAAACGGAACCTATTTTTATTAACGGAGGTTCTATTTGAAGAGATTGACTCTCTTATTGTTAAGCTACCTATTCCCAGCTTACCGATTCAAGAGCTTAAGCGGAAGGTGGTGGCCAAGAATCTTGGCAATGGACTAATCTTGTTGAAGAGAGAGGGTCGTTTCAAGATCCAATTGATGTCTCGGAAGTCTTCAACCAATGTTGCGAACCGGAAATCCAGTACACTAGAGGAACGTTCTCAGCACAAACCGACATTAAAGTTATCTTTGAAACCCATTGTTGTTGAGCCTATTGATGTTGTAACCAGTGGGGCAAAATCTGTAACTGCGACACCTAAAGCCCGTGAGTCTCAGTTGCATGCACATGCACCACATGCACCACATGCACCACATGCACCACATGCACCACATGCACCACATGCACCACATGCACCACATGCACCACATGCACCACATGCAAATGAAGCTGCACAGAGTTTAGGGCGTATTCTGCAGGTACGTTCCACCAAGTTAGTTACAATAGACCATCAAGCTAAAACTAAAGTCAAATTGCATCTTCCACGAGAAAAATTGAAGACCTTTTTAGTGAAACAAGAGCCGCGAGAATTGATTTCAGTTTCTGGTACCAGTGTCCGGATTAGATTTAAAAGAAAACAATCCACGGCTTTAGGGGATGCATCAGTTCACAGGTATATCAAGATTGATACTAAGAAGCGGAAAATTGAAACTTCTAATAAACCGTTTACGAGGGCAATCCATGAAAACTTTATGGACCCTAAAACTGAAAACCTCTCGGTACCAAGCGAATCACCTTTGCAACAGGAAATCAAAGTAGAGGAAGTGATTGCTCAACAAGATGATGTTGAGTCCAAGAGCGCACCTCACGGACCACTAGCTCACAATGATGCTAGTACTGCTGCTGCTTCCAATCCTATAGACCCTATTCCCAGCCGATTAAAAAGATCTGTTTCTGAGCCTATCCGATCAAACAAACTTTCCAAAACTATCCGAATAGGAAAACTGAAAAAACAGAGAAGAAACTTAACTGACTTGGACATTAAACCTAGTTTAAAAAAATGGGACGAAGAAAGGGCTTAAGATGTATATTTTCCTAGGGAAGAAAAGGCTTTAGATGTACATTCACCTAGGGAAGAAAAGGCTTTAGATGTACATTTTCCTAGGGAAGAAAAGCTTTAGATATACATTCACCTAGGGAAGAACTGGACACTTGACTAAAGAGCTCTCTCTATTAATGTTTAATAACTCGTAAGATAGAAAATGTAACTTTAAACTAAAGATATGTTAGTAGTACAACTGCTAGCACGCTTTTTTTTTTCCCCCCAGTATCCTGGTCGAACAGTCCATGCCAAGTCGACCCGCCTCCCGTCCTAGAATGCTCCCATTAATCGCCCTAAATTGTTCACTCTACCGCGACAAAGGATCGACAAGGGAAAAAAAAAAGATCAACTTAATTAATTAAATTGACTCAATTGAAAAAGGTTAGAAGACGGATTAGGACGGATATAGAGACAGACAGGCGGGGAGAGAGAGGCAAGTCAGGATAAGGCAAGTCAAGGTATAACAAGACGAAATAAGACAAGATTTAACTTTTCAGGTTGAAGAGCTTTTTTAAATCATAAGTATGTCTTTTAACAATCTAGCATTTAATGTATCGAAATCCAACCCTACTACATCTACATCTACGAGTAATGCTGATACAACTGCCACTATGAGCGGGACTATGGCATCGAATGAAAGCAATGTGAGATCATCTCCTAAACCGGTTTCTGCTCCGGTAATAAAAAAGCAAAATGACGAGCTGGTTATGGGCGAAACCGCGCTTGCTGAACCGGCTGGTAGTTCATTTGGTATATCGAGATCGCGGTACAATACAAAGGAGAACTCGGGCTCGGGCGTAGGAGCACCCTCTTCGAGTTCGAAATTAACATTGAGTCCCACTGTAGCGGCTCCGGCGGTTGTCACCATCGACAACCATACCAAAACACTCGAGTCCGCTACTGTTAATCCCTCAAAGACCGATTTGATAGGGCTATTTGATAAATTTGACTTGAAGGGGACCGCTGAGCTACAAGAGGATTTACAGCTGGAAGAAAGCTCAGATGTTGCGAAGGAGAAGGAGAAGGAGAAGGAGGAGGAGGAGGAGGAGGAGGAGCATGAGTGTAAAATTGAAAAGATGGAACTGGACGTTGACAATGAATCTGTTGCCGCATCTAACACAACTGAAGAAAAGAGAGTAAAGCCAAAGCAAACGGTGGAGAAAGTAGACAGTCGAGCTCATTTGTTGATGTCAATACAGCCTTACAACCCACCTACATATGAGATGGACTTGTTACAAGAAGAAGGAGAAGCAAATGGAGAAGGGGAAACAAGAGAAGAAGGAAAAGTGCAAGAAGAAGAAATCATCAATAATATGGCCACAGGACAAGCCAACGAGGTTGTGAAACTCCAAAATGGCTATTCTGCTCTACCGAAAGATTACAGTGTACCTACTAGTCAAGATAGTTCTCACAATAATATCGAAGGTGATTTGATTCAACTTGACGAAGATGATTCAACAGCTCCAATTACTCATGATAAATGGACCCAGAATAAAACCTTGGATGAGAAAATCAATCAAAAAGACAGTATTGATGGATGTAACCAGACCAGTTTGAAAAATGGTATTTCAGCACCAGCAGTAGCATCCGCTGGTGGTGCTGCTGCTGCTGCGCTGCTGCTGATAAGAGATGTGCAAAACAACTCTTCCTCGGAAGCTTCTTCCTCATGGGAAAATCTGAAAGTACCACTGGCAAGTATAGAGGAGAAAGAAATGGAAACGGATTATAAAGGAATCGAGAATACTAAACCCAAGCATGCAAGCATACCGGAGGCAGTAAAAAAGACATCTTCTTCAACCAAGACACCACTTAATATTAAAAACAAGGTCAGTCCAATAGAACAACATCAACAATCTCATAAGTCATTTGACTTTCAGACTTTTCTAATTCAATTGAGAAAAAAATCCGCAGACCCAATTGTACGATACTTGAGGTCGTTTCTTGGATCATATATCAAACAAGGCCCAACACTTACTTCTCAACAAAGAATAACCATTATTGCAGATTTTAAAGTCTTTATAAGTGAAAAATTCAAACTTTACGAACCGTTTAAATCTATGGACAGTGTAGACTTGGAAAACTCGCGTGAAGGTTTAGAGAAACTTATAATGAATCGATTGCACGATTTGTGTTTTCCTCCCGAAGTGCTAAAGCACTCTCTTCAGCGTCAAATACCAAAGGCTTATAGGGATGATTTGTATCAGGACAAGCAGTTTGCAATGCAATTGGAGAAGTTCAGTTGGATAAACGGATTGCATTTTGACATTGACATGTCTCAACTAAGTACAGTAAGTGTTAAGGAAGGACAAAACTTTTTCGATTATGCAATCATTGAATTGAACAAAATCAACAAATACCGGGCACCCAGAGACAAGATCATATGCATATTAAACTCGTGCAAAATCATATTTAGCTATTTGAAAATAAGCAACAAGGAAACTAACGCGGACTCGTTTGTCCCGTTGCTTATTTTGGTCATTTTCAAAGCAAAAACTAGTCATTTAATAAGTAATATCCACTATATTGAAAGTTTCCGTGGAGAGGAGTGGCTATTGCATGGAGAAACAAGCTATTACTTATCATCTATTCAAGGAGCAATCAACTTTATACAAAATTTGAGCAAGGAGGACATTACCATTACCCAGGAAGAGTACGATGCACATATGGAAGCCTGGGAAGCAGATCGCAAGCAGATTGAAAAGCAAGAAAGAGAAAATATGGAACGTCTCCGTCAAATAGAGTTGCAACGCGAACAAGCAGAAGAAGAAGAAGAAGAAGAGGACGAGGAGGAAGAGGAGGAAGAGGTAGAGGCTCGTGAAACAAAAGCGAGACAAATATTGGAAATTTCACCAACTAGACCCCGTCGCTTGTCATACCCTCAACCTCGACATGTCCAAAGCAGTAATAGATTACGAGAAGACGATGGTACTTTACTTTCACCAGTGAGTGGTTTATCACCTTCAAATGTACTAGCTTCAAGTGCCGAAATATTCTCAAGATCGATTACGAATTTTCTTTCCTTGCTGCCACAACCTAATGAAACGCCCAACGAGACTTCTTATTCTCCAGAAAGAACACAATTACAAAATGGCTCACCTCCACCTCCAGCACTACCACATCGGAACCCACTGTACAATGCAAGTAACCTATTGTACAATAGTGAGTCGGATCAACGAATTGAAGCAGATTATTCTGAAATGTTATACCAGCCTCGAGAGCCTAGAGAAGATGAAATTAATTCAGAGCAAATGAAGAACGCTTACAATATCCTCAAGGAAGTGTTTCCTACACTCGACACAAATATTCTAAAAGATGTAATATTCATCAACAAAGGTGACGTTGATGTTTGTATTGACGCATGTTTGCCGCTTGTCGATGGTCAATGATAGAAACTAGAGCTGTTTATAGCTTGTCTAGTTGGAAAAAGAGGTGAATTTAGTGTAGCGCAAAGTTGATTACAGGTTTTCGTGAAATAAGCTCAATCTCTATTCCACAAAGTTTAGTTTTATTCCAACTTGCCCTTTAATCCTATAGCCTACAAATGCCCTCTCCTCTTATAGCCTACAGATACCCTCTACTCTATAGCCTATAGCCTACAGATACCCTCTACTCCTATAGCCAATGCCAAAAAGTAATGGCATTGTCTTTTTTCAATGTCGCAATAACTCTCTTACTTCCATTGTCGCGACATATTCCAACTTTGTTGTCGCAAAAAGATTTACCGGATTCTGCGACATTCATAGAAAGCGAAGCTTCTCGAAAAAGAACTCTCGATATGGCATGGTTAGTAGCAGGTTAGTTTCAAGACCAATTAGAAGGCTTCTGATACGGTTGAAGACGGTGGAAAGATGGCAATTGACTATTCTAAATGGGATAAAATAGAAATTTCCGATGACTCAGATATTGAGGTTCATCCCAATGTTGATAAGAGATCGTTTATCAAGTGGAAGCAAAGAGATATACATGAGAAGCGGATGCAAAGAAACATCGAGATTAAATCGATATTAGTTCAGTTAACCATGTACTCGAAGTTGAACGAACGTTGTGACTACTTGTTAGATACTTTGAAGCCAAGTCAATTCTTGGATAACGGCTTGGTAATGTCAGCACTTGATGAAAAATTCGACCCCAAGGAGAAGTTTGACTATGAAGAATTGATCAAGTCGAAAGGAGATGATTTGAGAAAGGGGTTGAGGGATTTGCATTTTGAAAAAGAAGAGGTAGAAAATACTCCTTGCTACAATGAAATGATTGAAGATTTGTTTATCCAGATCAAGGATGATCACCCAGATGCAAAAACAGACTCTAGTGCATTGATTGAATACTTGAAAGAGCACAGAAACAAGATCGACGACGTTTTGAGTAAGCAAACAATCAAGTTGGACGATTTGTTGAATCAAAAAGCCCAGCTAATAGTAAGTGACGATTTGCATACGGGATTCGATAGATCATTCTTGAACAAGGCTAAGGACGAAGATGAGGAGGAGGAGGAGGAGGAAAAGAAGGAGAAGGAACCAAGTAAAGAAGCTGATGAGCTGAAAAAGTCGCTGAAAAAAGCATCTAAAACAGTAACAACTACTGAAACAATTAATTCACCATCCATAAAAAACTCCCTGGAAGCAGCAACAGCAACAGCAACAGCAGCACAGAAAGAGTCGGATATTTTGGATGAGTTGAATCTTGCTCCGGAAACAGAAAAATTTGGAACTTTATCAACAACCGATCTTATAGAGTCGGCAAACTACTTGATCAAACATACAAAAATTTGCACGGAACAGCAGAAAGATGCGTTAATTATGTCGGCATTTGAAGCTCAATTGGATGGAAAATCAGAAAGAGCAAAACAAATCATTTATCAATCTTTGATTTTGCAATATGTGGCGCAATTAAAAGGTAATAGCAAAACTCGCGACGATACCATACGTGCAATAAAGTTATTCTTCAGTAAATTCAAAGAGGAAGAAAAATTAAGGGCCTTTTTTAATGAAGAGTACCAAAATACTGTGAATCACATTTTCAGAAGATGTCAGATCATCAAGCAAGAACAAGAAGCCAATAAATCAAAGGGTGGTGATGATGGTGAAGAAGAGGAAGCACTAATACAATTGAGAGCCTTGGACGAAAATACAACATTATCGGTAAACATTCCCAAGGAGGGTACCAAAGAATACGAAGTTTTTAAAACCAAGCTACCTCTTGAATTCCAAAATGCAATAAAATCACAAAGCTTGGAGGAAATCAATAAGGAATTTGCAAAGTTGAAGGTAGAAGATGCTGAAAAGATTTTGGAAATTTTTAATGAATGTGGTGCAATTAGTGTGGATGGGTATTTGGATAATGAGAAGGAATTTGAAGAACTACAAAAGGAATATAATGAACAAGAAGAAAATATTGCTCATGTTGATGATCTGAAAGAATAGTTGCATTAAGGATGAAAATTGAAGCTGGGAGAGAAAAGAGGAACTTGTACATTAATCACCCTCTGCTTGTGATTTGTGCTTTAAGGATCTTGTTGTCCTAGCCAAATGTACTGATATTGTGCTTTTGAGTATTGTAGTCATTTAGTGTTTAATTCTTTGATTACAAGCTAGTTTTTCAAAAACTCTTTTTCTTTCCACGTTAGTAATAATTCCTTTACAGTTTGTGCAGTCTAGAGACTTTTACTTGGTGAAAGGCTTCCTTGTTATACCAAGTGTAACGGTTCAACAAAGAAGGAAAATTTTCTGAGTTCCAGCTTGAGAGTGGAGACTTTGACTAGTCAGCTCTGCTCGATAGTGTTGATGATGTCACTAGTCAGGACTGCTCCACTATCTCGCTCTGCTCGATAGTGTCGGAAGAAGGAAAGTTAATTAAGAATGTCTCTAGTAAGTATAATGAAATAAATTCTTAAAGATGAAGAGGGTGTGTGTGTGTGTGTGTGTGTGTTTGTGTGGGAAGGGGGGTTGTTTCGAGTCAAAGCCTTCACCTTCTAGATAGTTTTTGTAATGTTTCTATTAGTGATTCATTAGAAGAAGGATGCGGCTGCTGTTGTGATTGTTGCGACTGCTGTTGTTGATATTGCAATGGTTGAGAGTAAGAACTAGCTTGTCTCAATTGGGAGAGCAAAGCATCTGCTTGATTATTTGAAGCACGTGGATGGCGAGGTGGATTGTTAATGTGATTCATGCTTTGGTGTGGCTGGGGTACATTTCCGTATGGTTGTTGACTGACCCGTTGATTACGATTGTTACTTCTGGAATTGCCACCCATAAAACGTTCTCGATAACTTCCACTATCACCATAATTAATGCGAGACGGTGGTTGCATGTAAGGTTGTGGTTGTGGTTGTGGTTGTGGTTGTGGCTGTGGTGCTAATGCTAGATGTATAGCCTGTTGATTCTGCTGCTGTTGTTGTTGTTGCTGCTGTTGCTGTAGGAGATCTATCATACTTTGAACTTGACTTTGGTTTAGACCCTGTAACAATTGCATGAGATTGTTATTATTATTATTATTGTTGTTGTTGTTACTTGGAGGGCTTTGAATATTAGGTCCATATTGGTTAGCTGATGGCTGTGGTGGTATGTAACCATATGGTTGTGCAAACTGGACATTTTGCAGCGGCATTGGTTGAGGGGGAAACACCGCTGGTTGCAGTTGTACATATTGAGGAAATTGGGTCTGTGCAAAATTTCCAAGAGGTTGTTGTGGCTGTTGGTGATGATGCTGTTGTTGTTGTTGTTGTTGTTGTTGTTGTTGTTGTTGTTGAGGAAACTGGTGATACTGGTTTTGCCCTGTCCATGGTTGGTTTTGAAAATTTCTCCTATCACGATTATCATGGCCATAATACCTATTGTTTCCTCCTCGTCCAGTTTGAAATCTACGAGAATTCTGACTTTTATCGTGCCCACGACGATGATCAACTCTATTTTTCGCCCTAACATTTTCTTCGTACCCTGTATCTTGGTGTTGACTGTTATAATAATAAGAAGGGTTGTCACCATATTTTTCTAATTTTGCTTTGTTGAGAACCTCCCCTGCCTCTTCTGGTTCAATATCAGCATACTCATCAAATTTTATAGCACCATCGGGCTGTTCCAGGTAAGTTTGAACATCGACTTTCTGTTCTTTGATCACACAGGCACCTAGTACGCCAGAATAGGCCGCCTCGCTCAAAACTTCGCTGATATTCTTCTGAGTCACATCCTCAACGTCAATCGAAATACAGGCAGATGCCAATGCCCTCTTCACTTTTCGTATAAAAAACACCGAGGACTTGCCAGTAACAAAAACAATGCAGTCCACGTGTTCTTTTCTTCTTTTTCTAGGTCTTTCATCTCTTTCTTGTTGTTCTTGTTCTTCTATTTCTTTTCCTTCTTCTTCTCCTCCTCCTTCCTCTTCTTCTCCTTCTCTTTCTTCTCCTTCTCCTTCTCCTCCCCCATCTCCTTCCCCCTCTTCTTCTCCTTCCAAAGACTCTCTCTCTCTTCCTCTTCCACTTATATGTGAATGATTAACCTCAGGGTGGCTAAATCGCTTAGACTTTTGTGGCTTGGAAACATCGAGTCTCAAAATCTTGTTGTGCAAAGGCACATTAGTTTCACCTCTAACACAGTTCAAGCAAGCTTCTGAAGTTCGAAACTGAACAAATCCATACCCTGCCTTAATGGAGATCTCAATAACTTCTCCATACTTGGAAAAGATCCTAAATAGGTCCTGCTTTGAAATAGTATTTGCAGGTAGATTACCAATGAAAAGTCTCAGTTTATCGGGAAACTCGTCCCAGTTCTGCAATTCCAAATAATAATTTTCTCTTTCGATAAAAGCCTCGTATTCCTGTTCCTCTTCTGCAGTTGACGGAACAGTTATATTCGGCCTCAAGCAAAATTCGTTAACTGGGATCAACGGTATCGGGTTTTTCAAGTTCTTAAAAGGCTTATTGTATGAATACACCTGATCATAATTGGCAAATGACCTTTTCAAGTCTATACCTTGTTTGCTCAACTGTTCCAGAATTATGCAAACCTGTTCCTCCTGCGGGAGATGTAAAAAATTGCTATTTTTAGAGGTTTCTGACTTTACAACAGCATTAAATGCATCCTTCAACATTTGCTTGGCCTCGTTGTTTGCAAGAGTGATGGCATTTGTTGAGGGTTTAACAGTAGCCAGTATTGGTGGCTTCGGGGGTAACCCAATAGTTGTTGACAAAGGTGATGAAGAGGAAGAGCCAGTTGTAGCTGTAGCTGTAGCTGTAGGTTCAATTAATTCCGGTTCATACTCTTCTTCTTCTTCTTCTTCTTCTTCTTCTTCCGGTTCATACTCTTCTTTTTCCGGTTCATACTCTTCTTCTTTCGGCTCATACTCTACTTCTTCGGGCTCATACTCTACTTCTTCGGGCTCATACTCTACTTCTTCGGGCTCATACTCTACTTCTTCGGGCTCATACTCTACTTCTTCGGGCTCATACTCTACTTCTTCGGGCTCATACTTTTCTTCTTCTTCTTCCTCTTCAAGTGAAGCGGGCTCAGTGGCTGCAACATTAGTAGAAGCAGTAGCAGCAACTTCGATACTTTGGGGATCGTACTCGTCTGTATCACTTGCATCGCTCGATATAGCCTCTTTTACGGAGCCAAAATCATCTTTCTTCACTTCTGCTTCTGCTTCGGCACAATTAGAAGTAGAAGTAGAAGTGACAAGATCCGGTTTTTCCACATTGTCACCATGTGTCGTTGCGCTTGAAGAAACAGCAACAGTCTCTGTCAACTGGTCCATTTCTTTACAATTGTCCTTTTCACAGACAATGATAACCTCATTATCATTACTTTTTATCGGCTCAATAGTTTGAGGACTTTTTTCAACCTCTTTATTCTTCTTGTCGCTCGTATTGTCGTTTTCTTGGTTAGCAACGGATCGTACAGAAGTTCCCGTTTTTGGTAGGGAGTCTCTACCGTGATTATGCTTACTTATTGTAATAGGATTCACTTCCATAGTAAAAGAAGAAAATAGTACCAAAAAAAAAACTCAAAGGATATATGTTCAAAAGGGAAGCACTAAAAGGGATATGTTAAAAAGGAATATGCTCAAAAAAATGTGTCTGGCACATAAAACAATTCCAACTTTGCAGGGATATAGCAAGAGTTTCTCTAAAGAACGGGGGTATATAGACTCTTTCCTCTTATTAACCTTTTCCCTTATATACCTCTTCTTCCTTTATACCTCTTCTCTCTTTTTTGGTTGAATTTTTTTCGCTTCATTTTCTGTCGCATTTGTCTGTCGCATATTCCCGACACTATCGAGCGACACTATCGAGCGATACTATCGAGCGAAGCGAGATAATGGAGCAACATCAACTAGTGGCCACCAACACCAACTAGTGGCCACCAACACTAATACTTGATTGAACATGTTCTGCACCATCTTCTCACTACTTCTACACCATCTACTCACTACTTCTCACCATCTACTCACTACTTCTCACCATCTACTCACTACTTCTACACCATCTACTCACTACTTCTCACCATCTACTCACTACTTCTCACCATCTACTCACTACTTCTACACCATTTTCCCATCCTTATACCATTCTCTTGGCCAAAGACTTCGCCATTGCAGCTCATCTTCTTTTAGATCCAGAATCTAATTACCACAACAGATACAAAGTGTGCTCCACTATCTCGCTCTGCTCGATAGTGTCTATAGCGTACTTATCTCTACCTTAACCAGTTATTCTTTATGCGCTTAGAAGAACCTCTTTTTTCTGGTTCCTTCATAGTACAAAAGTCCATTGTTTTTCTTCTCACTTACTCACATATACACATATTCTACCTCACTCTCATACACAACCACAACCACTCAATTTCTCAATTTCTCAATTTCTCAAGCTCAATCGATTTCCCATTTTTCAAGCTCAATTTCTCAATTTCCCATTTTTCAAGCTCGGTACTAATTTGTCAATCAATTTTAATTACTAGTAGAGTTCAAACGCTTGAAGGTTTCTAAGTTTTAAGGGCTTGATTTTTTCCCCCCACTATATAACAAAACTCCCGCCCCACATTATCTCAACTTTGCTCGAAAAATTTCTTCATCTTCTTTCATTGTCTCTTTTTTATCTCTTTTTTTGCGTCATTTCCTATTACATGTTTTGTCATTTTTATTGTCATTTTTTTATCTTTTTTTTTACGTCATTTCCTATTACATCTTTTGTCATTTTTATTGTCTCATTTATTTCTTGCTTTTCTGATTACATCATCACAAGGAGGTGCGCTTACCCCATGCTTACATAATTTACCAAAAAGGGAAAATTGAAAACAAAAGCTGGAATCAAAATTCCTTGCTCAAAGCTTTCAATGATGATGACCTCTTCATTCTATCGTGGCAAGCTTGACAACTCCCCGCCTCCCCCTCTTGAGAGCGAGCTTATAAGATACGTTTCCTGAAATCTTACATTTGAACCTTTTCTTCTGAGTATGACGCTTTTTCAGAACTTCAATACACATTCTTTAAGATCGACGCGTGGATTTAAGCTTAAACAAACTTCGTCGCCTATTTCAAGTCCACAAACAGCAGCTAGTAACTTGGGATGGCTTCCCCAGAGCAGTAGCCATCTGCCGCAGCAACAGCAACAGCAACAGCACCAGCAACAGCAACAGCTGCAGCTATCGGAAAATCCGTATCAAACTCTCAATAAGACACCGGCGCAATCATCTATTGCTCAATCGGTATCGACACATAAGGATATAAGGAATTATGCTGAGCAAACTTTAGGTTCGGATAATGCTTTGATTCAAGCCGTTAAGTTGCCCAAAGACGAAGACTTAAACGAATGGTTGGCCATACATGTTGTTGACTTCTACAATCAGATAAATATGCTTTATGGAGCAATAACCGAGTTTTGCTCACCATTAACGTGTCCTAGAATGATCGCTACAGAAGAATATGAATATTTATGGCAAGACTCAAATCCAACACCATCTCGAAATGATGGATCTTCTTCAATAATGGTTATTCTGCCCAAGAGACCAGTGTCGTTACCAGCTTGCGAGTATATTGAAAATTTGATGAACTGGGTGCAAAACTTTTTTGATAATGATAATATTTTCCCTTCAAAAATAGGTGCACCTTTCCCACACCAATTTCCTACATTGGTGAAAACTATTTTCAAACGGCTATTTAGGATTTATGCACATATTTATTGTCACCACTTTCACGAAATTAGCGAGTTGGGATTACAGAGTCACTTGAATACGAGTTTGAAACACTACGTTTTACTAGCTAATGAGTTTGATTTAATCGGCCGCAAGGATTATGGGCCTTTGGAAGATTTGGTTGATACAATGTTGAACAGATGAGTGCAAAAAAAAAAAAAAAAAGAAGAAGAAGAAGTGTCTTGTCCTATTCACAAAAGCTCAACTTCAACCATTATACATAGATGATCTGATGGGTATTGGTATAATCGTGGTTGGCCATTTGGTTTTGGTCCCATTTCTTCTGGTTTTGGCAATTTCAATAGTTTTTTTAATTTTATGTAATGTTTTTCGAGATCCTTTGCCGAGTCTTTATTAGAAGCGTCCGTTGTCTTGGGGTCCCAGGGAACGAGAAGTAAGATATAGTCTAGCATCCCATGCCATTTGTCGATCCAGTTGGAAAAGGCTGGTTCTTTTCTATAATTTTGTGCATTCTCTGGGTCAACTAATTCGTAGCCAGCAGAGTATAATGAAATTGCTCTAACATTCATATCATTGTGGGCATCGGCCAACTGTTTCATTATATCTTCTTGTTCCTGGCTAGGTTCAAATTCAGCAGGAACTGGGTTATCTGGATTTTGAATTATATCATTGTTCCTTTGCTCAGATTCAAATATTCTCTTTTCCTCGTCTTCAATTTTCCCTTCTTGCTCGTCTTCAATTTTCCCCTCTTGCTTCTCCTCTTCTTCTTCTTCTTCTTCTTCTTCTTCTTCTTCTTCTTCTTCTTCTTCTTCTTCTACCTCATCTTCCTCCTCATCAAGAGCTCTATCCTTGGAAAACTTGTAGCTTAAGGAACAGCCCAAAACATTCTTCACAAGCCCTTCATACTTCACCGGCTTTGCCGTTAATGAAAGGTACGGTGCATCAAATGGTTCCGAGTTCAAATCTCCTGTGAAAAACGAATAAAAAGGTTTATTATTTCCTGAGAGTACTTGCAATGTATGCTGAAATTCTCGGAATTTATAAAGAATCATATACGTTTGTCTCGTCCTTTCATATGTACCAAAAGGATGCCAAAATGCATGTGTCGTACCAATTAGTACCCCATTCCTTTCCTTCAAATACGGGTATTTCTCTAAAGCTTTTGGCTTGAATTCGAGATAACACATGAAGCCGACATTTTTGGTTTGTATTCTCGCTGGTGGTAATACAGTTTCGCCACCTTGTTTATCGACTATTTCTTGATCGTATTTAATAAACGATTGGTGCTTATTCGAAAACCATTCTGATTTGAATGCAATTACCAAGCCATGGATCTTGGTATTATACCGATAATGCTTACACGTAAATCCTAGTTTTTCCAACTCTAATCGCCAAAAGTTCTCATACTGTAATTTGTCACACTCTTGTAAACATAAAATGTCTGGTGCATACCATTGAATCTCGGATAATAATATACGCGATCTTATAGACCACTTCAAAATCTTGCCACTTGAAGGAAATAGCGTTCTTCGAATTAAACATTGCGCTAGAATGTTATAGCTCATAATCTTAACCGAGAGTTTATGTGCATCACTCGTAACATTAGGAATCTCCAAAATTGGCCTTTTGATGAATTTCTCAATAGGTTCAGGACTATCGACTATACCTTTTGCTAGTCTTTCCTGACGTTCCTTCTCTTTTCGCTCATTTCGTAGTCGTCTCTGTTGCTCAATATATTCTGGCGTTAATAGAGAAGGATCAACTGGCTTCTTAGTGCCTTTCTTCTTGGTCATTCCTCTAAATAACCCCCCGCTTGTACAATGATTGCGAAATATCATCGCTCTGTTACCAGGATTCTTTTTTTTTTTCTTCTTTTGTTGAAAAATTTCAAGTTAACAAATCAGTTTCTATAATCCAATAAGTTTTAAAGAGAAGTAAAGGGGGGGAAGGCTGCAAAGAAGCAATGGAGATATATGAGAGGTTAGATCAATTGCAAACTACGATATTTGCCAATTTGGATTCTTTGGTACGCACTTTGGACTTGAAAGATGAGGAGTATACTACAGCTTCAGACTCGATTTTAACACAGATTAATCATAATTTATCAACTTACAAAGACTATCTACGTATACTCAAGCTCGAAAAGGGGTATAAATCCTCATTGTCAATACCCACACGCTCTACCCTACAGATATATGAGTTGAAGTATGAGTCGCTAAAGAAGAAACTACGAGACTTGTTGATTTTCATGAATGATTCACAGCAATACAAGGTGCACAAAGATAGACTACTAAAGTTTAATCTTCTTGTTCCACAAGCCAGCAAGTCTGGTGGTAGTGCTGCTAGTACCAATAATCTTTCTGCAAGAGATCAGCTCTTTGCAAATCGTTCAACATCAAGATCTAACGAATCTACTGGTGGTATTGCCCAGCAAATCAATTCTCAAAACTCAAAAATTACCGCTTCTTTACAAGCGTCGCGAAACCTCCTTTCAGCAACGATTCTACAATCTGAATTGAATATAGACACAATAGACCAACAGAGTAAGGACTTGTTGCGTTTAAATGAGAACTTCACAAAGTTTGGAGACTTGTTAAATAAGCTGCGTGGCATAATTAAATTTATTGAAAAACAAGATAAGGCTGATCGACAAAGAATTTATTTGAGTATGGGGTTTTTCCTTTTGTGTTGCTGTTGGGTTATTTACAGAAGAGTCTTGAGGCGGCCTATTGGGTTATTGTTTTGGTCTTTGTTTAAGATTTTCAATATTTTTGGCTGGTTATTTGGAAGTGGAGGCTCAAGAGAGAAGGTGGATGAAGAATTTATTGAGGAAATTGTAACCGACGTGAGCTTATCGGTTCCTTTGGTGGCGATGTTGGCAAGTACCCTTGACAGCTCTGTAGAAGAGATTACCACTCTACTACATTCAGTCATCACTAGCACAACAGCAAGTGCAGAAAGACTTGTGGATGAATTGTAGTGAAAAAGAAAAGAAAAAGAAAAAGAAAAGCAAAGCAATGCAAAGCAAAGCAAAGCAAAGCAAAGCAAAGTAAAGTAAAGACACAACGTTGTGAATTAGTTATACCCTTCTATGCTGATGTTGTTTTTATCTTATTTTTTTTAGGGTGATTCAACTTTGACACTCGATCCTTGTTTTTCAGAGGACTCCAAAGCTGCTGCAACGATAGCCAAATGATGAAAAGCTTTCGTAGGTGGCACTCTAATCAATCTTTTGTTTTTCTTCTCAATAGCCTCAGCAAAGTTTTTAAACTCTTCTTCAAAAGTATCCACTTCGTCAATCTCAATTACTTTTTCTTCACTCTTATCCTGGGCACTGGAACCTAATTGATAAGTAATCTTATGCTTTGGCAAAGCAGGCGACCAATCATACACTACTGACCCTTTAGTTCCATATATTTTAAATTTTGTAGATTTATCGGTAGCTGCAAATGCTGACCCATATGTAAAAGTACCAATAACTCCCGTTTTCATTTTTATTGTGGAGAATAAAGTATCATCAGCACCACTTTCTTTTTTGATTTGTTTGGTTAAAGCACCAATTGTTGCTACTTGCCCCAAGACATCAGTCAATAATGCCAATTGATGTACTCCACCATCACTCAAAAATCCACCAATGTGTTCCGGTTTCAATCTCCAGTTAGTAGCTAGGTACTTGTTATCACTATTCCATGGTCCTGTTGCGTTATAAGTGAATGCAACAACGTCACCCAATTGAGGTAAGATATCCTTTTTCAATATCTGAGTTGCCTTTAAAAATGACCAGTTTTCCAATACCATTATGGGTAACTCGGATGATTCACTCAATTGCACTATTTCTCTTGCCTGCTCTAAATTTGCAGCTATTGGCTTCTCGAAACATATCGGTTTGTCGTGCTTTATAGCCAATTTGACAGCATCAAGATTGAATTGAACTGGTAGCAAAGCATCAACAAATTGCACTTCTGGGTCACTAAATACTTGGTCTAACGAGTCGTATACTTTGTTTTCGGGAATTCCTGCTTTTGCGGCAAACGCTTCTGCTTTGGATTTGGTTCTATTATAAGCAACTACTGGTTTTAATAATGAGGTTAGCTTCTTGATTGTTGGTAAATGTGTATCTGTGGCAAAAATACCGGTACCGACAATAGCAAGATTTAATGGTGCCATTTTTGTTCAATTCTTGTTTCCTTCTTTTCTTGTTTTCTTCTTTTCTTGTTTCCTTCTTCTCTTTTTAATGGCAATTGAAGGAAATCGTTGCACTTTTATAAACGGAGTTAACTTTACCGGATTAATATAAGATCTTCGGAATAATTGCAATTTTTCCTTCAACTCGCATAGCGACAAGAAAAAAAAGAGCCACGCTCAGCACTGAAATTTGGGGGATTCCAGCAACTTCCCCCAAGAGTTGACTCTCTTGTGAGGTGGCTCTCTTGTGAGATGAGTTTCTCAGAAATTGACTCTCTTGTGAGTTGACTCTCTTATGAGTTGTCGGTGGCAGCTAGTGTTGCTCCACTATCGAGCGGAGGGAGATAGTGTCAGTGACAGCTAGTGTTGCTCCACTATCTCGCTCTGCTCGATAGTGTCGATAGTGTCGATAGTGTCGATAGCGTCGATCTTTCTAGTCATTTGGTTCAATTAATTGTAAGGGATATGAGCCAACAACACCGTATCCCTTAAACCGGGTCGATTTTTCATCCAAAATCGAAATTGCAGCTTTATCATCGAGGAGTAACTTCAACATAGTAAAGTTTTTCTTTAAATTTTCAACCAACTGGACCAAAGTCAAATTCTCGTGTTCCTCTTTGATTTGTAAAATCTGTTTTGTTCTTCTATACCAGAATAAATTCAACTCGATGTATTTTCGACCAACGATTGAAACCACGCATGGATACTCTTGTTCCATGTGTATATACCAGGAAGTCAAGAGGTAGTTAAGCGATGAAACCAAATCTTTTTCCAAACTCACTGGGTCCTTGAAGAGACACTGGAGCTTGAGGTTTATTATTGACAAATGAGAAGTTGTAATAACAGCCCCATTTGTATGGAACAAGGAATCTTTACATACCAAAGTAAACGTATATGCTGAGTCACTAGATATGTCTATAGAAGCGTCGTATAGTCCCATTTGCCAAAACGGGATAAATCGTAAGGCCAAATTATATATCATCTGCTCATAGCTTGTATAAGATATTTTTCGGTTATTGATAAAGATATCAACATTTATAGAGACTGTTGGTGCAGGAACCACTACATCTTTAGTGCCACTACTACTATCAGTAGAATAGCTTAGTTTATAATACAGCTCACCTTTTCTTATAGCTATAGACATGATAAGACAACCTGCTCTTAATATGGCCTGCTCTTAATATAGCAACCTCCTCTTAATAAAACAACCTGCTCTTAATATGGCAATTTTTGCAACCAAAATATAACGAGGGGAAAAAAAGTTTCAAAAAGAAAAAGGTGAGATGAAAAAAGAAAAAAAAAAAAGGGGGGGCAAGGGTGGACGGATAAAAGGGAAGGGATTTTGACAACGAGTCCTTTTGCTTCCATTAGATAAGGAGTCAGTCCTTTTGCTTCCATAAGGAGTCACTTTTCTTCCATTAGATTAGGAGTCCCTTTACTTGTGCAATGAATCATGCCAAATTCAAGTTACGGCAAAATAGTAGAGGATTGATATTTAATAAGCGACAAGTTGATATAGTATCGTCTATAGCCTCTATTACCCAGCTTAAAAGCTTTAAATCTAAATTATTGGCTTATTACAAGAGATTTTACAAATTACGCGATTTCGAGTGTTCCCAAAGATTATATCGTAGCCAAGAACATCCATATGACAAGGTAGAAATAAGTAAAGATGACTATGTTAATTTATTAAAAAGACAATTTCGAAATGTCCTGTATAATGTTAAACGAAGGAAATTTCTCGAGCTACCGCCATTAAGTGAAAAGGAACAAGAACAGCGATTAGCTAATACTTTGGCATTTGTATTTAACCATACTGTAGAAAAAAGTAATCTGGACAATAATCCAGATGAAGTAGTAGTCAATATAGAAGATGAGGAAAGAATTAGTTTGGACACAATCGAATCAAAAATCATTAGTACTATTTTAAGAATGGATAAGGATTGTCCCTTGGAAATTAAACATGATTATAAATTTGTTTGGTTGGATAAGTTGAATAAACGTATACAATGCAATCAACTCGATAAAAACGATATAATCTACTTTAACCAAAAGTCCTACTTGACTACTTTGATGAGGTTTAACGAATCAATCAAACTATCTCTATAATAGTGTGGTACTGCATAATACAAACTAATATTTATTCTTTTTTTTTTTTTTTTGTCCTCTCATATAGTTAAATAGTAATTGCTATTGCAATTTTTCAACTAATAAAGGGTATAAAAACCCCTCTAGGTGTATATAGTAAACCTCTAGGGTAGTATTCTTTTTTGGTTATGGGTTGGCTATCTTTTGGGTCAAAGAATGATTCGAGTCAGCTGTCGATTGTAAATGGTTCTGCAGTTCCTTCAACTGGTCAAATATTGCAACGTTCGCATCAAAAGTTGACATCGTCTGAATCAGATATAGAAACTACGTTGAATCAGTTAAAAGCCAAATCTACAAGTCCAGATATAAAAGTAGAGTCGGTAAATGGGAAGATTAAAAGTAGTTCAGATATAAACCATACTATTGCCGACTTTATCAATCAGTATCCCGTAAATAACATGTTTGAAATTGATGGTGAAAAGGATAGAAACGAGAGTATTATATGTACATCTAATGATCAAGGCGGCAAGACATGCCTCAAGTTGAAAATAAACTCAATCGAATTGTTTAGGTGTATGCAAAAATTAGAATATTTTTGCTCTTTGCCTAATGATATCAATGCTACTTATTTCGAATGTAGAAAAATCCAGTAAATAAAAGCTTTTATCACTGTTGAATATGAATATGTATATGTATATAAATATATGTATATGTATATATAGTTACGAGTGGTTTAAATAAAATGTACACTTTAATGTCTATGTATAGCTCAATATCTATATAAAATGTATTGAACTATACATTTTATAGTTCGATATCGTCATACCATAAATGATTCACCGCAACCACAAGTTCCTTTTGAATTGGGATTCTTGAAAATAAATCTTGAACTAAGTTTATCATCAAGCCAGTCCATTTCGGATCCAACAATGCTAAATAATGCCTTGGAATCAATTAGTACTTTCACGCCATCTTGTTCAATTAGTTCGTCGAATTTACCTGGTTTGTCAACATAATCCAAATCATAAGTCAATCCGCTACACCCTCTATTTCTTACACCGATTCGAATCAATTTCGGATTTGGTTGATTGGATAGTTGGCGAAGGTGCGCTAGAGCTGATGGTGTAAGTGTGATTAGCTGTTTTCTTGGACGCAAAACCCTTGTTCTTGGTTTCTTGGTGGCAATCGCGGGGGCAACTTCCAGTGAAGCTGCTTTTAGTGCTTTCTTTGGTGCTTCTTTTAGTGCTTCTTTTGCTGGTGCTGTTTCTTTCAAAGTAAATGCAGTATCGGTGGCAGCTGCAAAGGGTTGCTCCACTATCTCGCTCGGCTCGATAGTGTTTGAAAAAGTTTCCTTTCTAAACCTCATTGTTCGAGGCCTTCGCTGGGTAGCTTGTTGTTCTTGTACATCTTTTCGAGGTTTTTGTACATTTTGAATCTTTGGCAACTCTTCCACCGGTAGTGAATGCGGATTCAACCGATAAGGTTGTAACTGATATGGCTGTTGATGACGCTGTTGTTGTAGTAGTGACCTTGAAATTGTGCTAAACTGTTTCCTCAAGGGTGTTACCCTATTAACATGAGTTCTCAAAATCATCTCCAACAAACTGTGTGTGTGTATATCTGTACCTTTTTTTTTTTTTCTTCCTGCCCCCAACTATACTACTATACTTATACTACTATACTAATATAGTATATATAAAGAATATATGAATATTTAAGTAATAGAAAACTAAATGAGGGAGTTATAATGATTTGCTTTTCTTTTTATTAGGCGCTATTTTCTCCTCGTAGATTACGGAGAAATTATGAAAGCATGCAACTTGAATTTGGAATTTGTCACAATGTGCACTACCACGTTAACTAACTTGAGACATCTGAGTAATCATAACTTTAAAGTTTGTGATTGGCTGTGTTGGGGAAATCTCGCAGCCGATAATAGGACTATCGAGCGACACTATCAAGCGACACTATCGAGCGAAGCGAGATAGTGGAGCAGCACTTAATAGTAACATTATCGACACTATCGAGCGAAGCGAGATAGTGGAGCAGCACTTAGTAGCAACACTATGAGCGAGATAGTAGAACAGCACTTAATAGCAGCACTTAATAGAAGCACTTAATAGCAGCACTTAATAGAAGCACTTAATAGCAGCACTTAATAGCAGCACTTAATAGCAGCACTTAATAGCAGCACTTAATAGCAGCACTTAATAGCAGCACTTAATAGCAGCACTTAATAGCAGCACTTAATAGTAGTATTAATAGTAGCACTTAATAGTAGCACTATCGACGCTATCTCGCTCTGCTCGATAGTGGAGCAGTACTTATTGGCTGCGCGAAATAATCTCTCTCTGCTCGATGGTGGAGCTGTAGTTAATAGCAGCACTATCGACGCTATCTCGCTCTGATCGATAGTGGAGCAGCACTTAATAGCTGCGCGAAATAATCTCGCTCTGCTCGATAGTGCAGCAACACTAGCTGCCACAGATGCTGGTTATTACTAGCAATGAATCAGTTGCAATCGGTTAGAGGTGTAATAGACTGAGGTGTAATAGACTGAGGTGTAATAGACTAAGGTGTGATTGGTTAGAGGTGTAATAAACTGAGATGTAACAGACTGGGGTGTGATTGGCTAGAGGTGTAATTGGTTAGAGGTGTAATTAATTAGAGGTGCAATCGGTTAGAGGTGTGATCGATTGAGCTGTAATAAATTAAGCTATAATCGGCTGAGTTGTATTCGCCGAGTTGTTTGATTTGAAAGAAATTTTGGCATTTACAAATGGCTGCAAAAAGATGGATTAATCTTTTGCCCAAATATTGATGCCCCAACTTATCGAGCAGAGCGAGATAGTGTCATTAGTCAGTGGTGCTCCACTATCGAGCAGAGCGAGATGGTGGAGCACCACTTGGTAGCTTGTTACAACACAATCGACACTATCGAGCAGAGCGAGATGGTGGAGCACCACTTAGTAGCTTGTTACAACACAATCGACACTATCGAGCAGAGCGAGATGGTGGAGCACCACTTAGTAGCTTGTTACAACACAATCGACACTATCGAGCAGAGCGAGATGGTGGAGCACCACTTAGTAGCTTGTTACAACACAATCGACACTATCGAGCAGAGCGAGATGGTGGAGCACCACTTAGTAGCTTGTTACAACACAATCGACACTATCGAGCAGAGCGAGATGGTGGAGCACCACTTAGTAGCTTGTTACAACACTACCTCGCTCTCCTCGATAGTGTCATTAGTCAGTGGTGCACTAGCTCGCTTCGCTCACTAGTGTCGCTACTCTCTACTTTTTGCATACTGCTCCACTAGCTCGCTTCCCTCCCTAGTGTCGCTAGTGTCTACTTGATGTCTATTCTATTACTGTCTAATGTTATCTAGTTTAATACGACACAATTCAAATTGCCTTGTACAGTTCTACAGCGGCTTAGATGTTTCTCCTTGTAGTGCTTCATTTTCCTCCTCTTCACCATCTCCAATTATAAAATTATCAGTATCGAAATCTGAAGAGTTCAATTCTATGTCATTGTGACTTGCCATCTCTAGTTCATCTTCGAAATTGCCAAATAATAACGCATCATCACTAACTACGCCTCTTTGATGGAAACTTGCTAATTTGGCACGCATCCTTGCATAAATTAAGTAAGTCGCTAATGATGCAGCAATCCCAGTAATGGTAATACTAATCACATCGACAATCTTGTTCGAGCTCCCTTTTCCAAGCTCTTTCAACTTACTGCCAATATACAAATGAATTAATAGCTTTGGAGAAGTAATCAACATGGCTAGGAAATAATTCAATAATGAAAGCTCGGGGATTGCAGATAGTGCTCCATTGGACAAGGAATAAGGTGTAGGACACAACCGAATCAAGATCAACAAAACTAGTGAGTTGTCTTCACTCAATATTTCGGCAAACGCTCTAAACATCTCACTATGGTTCATTAGCCTCATGGCTTGGTTATGTAATAAATATTTGTACACCAAAAATGCCACAGTTGAGCCCAAGACCGAGCCCGCGGCAAGAATAGGCCAACCATTTGGGAACCCATAAATCATTCCTGTCAAAAGACTAATTGCAGTGAAACCAATTAAAGGTGGGAACCCAACAATAAAGATTAATAAGAAAATGAGAACACTACCATAGGGAAGATTTCGCCAATCGTCTGATAGCTGAATAAGCACGCTTATAAGATATGAATGGAAAATAAGGAACAATATGCAAACAACGACCAACAATAAGGCTATAACGACTAAAGTAGTTTTGATAATCATTGATTGTGCTGAAAACCACTCTCGTGATTCTCTAAAATTCTGAGTTAGTGAGCTTCTAAAGTTGGAGAGAAAGCCCCCTTGGTGGTGATGATCATAGGGATTAGGGTCATAAGGGGTATTCGACGACATCCGAACTGAAAATGAGACATGAATCTTCCCAATATGTGGTTTAGATGGTGGGTCCCTAATGAAAACGATACTTTGCTTATTTGAAACCCTCAAAAAGGCAATTTGAAAAACAAAAAAAGAATACTTGAGTCACGTGATCTGTTAAGACTGCTTTTGGTATTTCTTTTACTTTGGCACCAAATGAATAAGAAAGAGGCGACACTATCGTCACTATCGTCACTATCGACACTCTCGAGCATACCGAGATAGTGGAGCAACACTTAGTAGCTTGTTACAACACTCAGTAGCTTGTTACAACACTATCTCGCTCTGCTCGATAGTGTTGCTCGGTAGTGTTGCTCAGTAGTGTTGCTCGACAGTATTGTTCGATTGTATTTTATCTCACAATCTCTTTCATCTTTCAATTTCTTTTGTTTATTTTGCATTCAAATAAAACAAAGTTACTGATGAGCATAAAATCAAAATAGGACTAGAAATCAACCGCAAATATATCACCTCTATCACTTAAACACTATCTCGCTCTGCTCGATAGTGTTGTGACTACTCGATAGTGTTGTGACTACTCGATAGTGTTGTAACTACATGAAGGTGGAGTCAACTCCTCAACCTGGTAAACTCAATGGTTGCAAAGAGGCAAGAAAAAACTGGTATTACGCGCTACCAAGTGACCCATCAAGCTAGGGTCCAAAAGTGTTGCAGACGAATCCATTTTTGGTTGCAAATTACCCTGGCAAGGCAACCCCACGTTAGAATTGGGTTAGTATAAAGCTTCAAGGATAGCTTGCAAAAGGGAGAAAGAAAGAAAAAACAACAGGGTTCTATTTTATTTTAAGGAAAAATGTTGACAAACTGGCCTAGTCTAGTTTTCTCAGGGTTTTGGTCGCTGCTTTCGAGTCCCGCTGGATATGCGCCAATAGAGGTTGACTGTCCAGCTGGATCTTTGGTAAGAAATTCATCAACGGGCCTAAATTCGAACGAAGCTACTTATATACAGTCGAGATACACTATTGCTAAACAGAATTTGGGCCAATATTTGAAGAGCTCCAACTTACATGATTTCGACGTTGATGCATTTTTATCGGTTGCAAACCCTACTATTGGGGTGGCCTTCTCAGGTGGAGGATACAGAGCACAACTAGTTGGTGCAGGCGAGTATGCAGCTTTAGACTCAAGAACTAATTTGATTAATGGGAACAGTTTGGGTGGTGTTTTGCAGCTGTCAAATTATATATCAGGGCTATCAGGCGGCGCATGGTTAGTTGGTTCACTAGTTAGCAATAATTTAGTCACAATTGATCAAATATTGTCCCAGGATATCTTGTGGAACACTGTTAACTCGATATTGGACTATTATGATAATCTAGTTGAAGAATTGGAAATGTGGATAGAAATTGCTTTGCAGGTAGAGTCGAAACAACTTAATGGATTTACTATTAGCATAACTGACTTTTGGGGAAGAGCCTTGAGCTATCAGCTCTTGCCATTTTTTCCTCAAGAGGCAGCCGGTTTCCCCTTTCTGAATGTGGTGCAATTGCCTGTATTTCAAAACTATTATAGCCCTTTTCCTATATTGGTTGCGGATGGAAGAGAACCCAATACTACGATTGTTAATCTGAATAGCACAGTTTTTGAATTGACTCCATATGAAATTGGAAGTCGTGATCCTTCTTTGGGATCTTTTGTTCAAACGAAATATTTGGGTACTGAGCTTGATAATGGTGTCCCGTCATCATCATCATCATCATCATCATCAAGGTGTATCAATGGATTTGACAATACTGGTTTTTTCATTGGCACTTCGTCATCATTGTTTAATGACATATTATTAACCATAGACCAAGATTATATTCCTGAGTTTCTTCAAAAGATCATTGAAGAGATTTTGGTTGATCCTTTTGAGAAATTGAACGTGGACGTGGCGCATTATAATCCCAATCCTTTCTACAAGAGCACGAATCCAGATACACCAATTGCAGAGTCAAAAACGTTATATTTGGCCGATGGAGGTGAAGATGGTCAAAACGTGCCATTGTTGCCGTTGTTGCATAGAAACCTAAGTGTAGTTTTTGCGTTTGATAATTCAGCCGATGAATTGAATTGGCCAGACGGTACAGCTTTGATCCAGACGTATGAACGTCAATTTTCAGAACAGGGAAAGGGAATCGCATTCCCATATGTACCAGGTCAAAGTAGCTTTCTCAATTTGAACTTGACCGCAAAGCCTACGTTTTTCGGGTGTGATGCTAAGAATTTGTCCACTTTAACCGATGATATCTATGATGTACCTTTGGTGATATATATCGCCAACAGACCTTTTACCTTTTGGTCCAACACATCTACATTCAAGTTAGAGTATAGCGTACAGGAGAGGAACAGGATGATTCAAAATGGATTTGAAGTTGCTTCTAGATTGAATGGAACATTAGACGATGAATGGGAGGCATGTGTTGGTTGTGCAATCATTAGAAGAGAACAAGAGAGAATGAATTTAACACAGACTGATCAGTGTAAACAATGTTTTGAAAAATATTGTTGGGATGGCACTATCTATGATGGTCCTTCCATTGGTGACAATTTTGATGATGAGGGAAGAACAGTCGGTGCTGGACCCTACAATCTGTGCGATATCCCTGGAGCTTCAAAAGTCCACAAACTGGAGTGATAAATTGAAAAAGCGTTAGTATCACACCTAACTGCTACTTCTACTACTACTACTATTACTACTAATTGCTGAAGTCTAAAATTGCTTTTGACTTTTATGTTTACTTTTTTTTTTCTTTCTTTTTTTCTTTTTTTTTTAAAAAAAAATGGATGATAGCTATGTATTATATAAGAGGTGTTGTGAAGATAACAACAAAAGGCTTTTTTCAAGAGATTTGCAAGATAGTATCAAATGCCTTATTTTTGAAATATTATTATTTATCTAATATACAACAACATAGATATATATGTTTCTTACTTATATAATTAAATCTTCCTCCTTTTTCTTGTTTTTTTTTTTTTCCCTAATTTACTACGAATTTAACAAATCTGGCAAATCATCAACATGGCCATTTTCGTAAATTATTCTATAAGTAGCCTCAAATAATGGAAACTCGTGAGTAAGTTTGAAATTGGTTAATAGTTCATGTACCTCTTTAGCGGTTATTATCCCTTGAGAGCTTTGACCCTTGAGTACTATTTTCTCAGCCTCCCAAGCATCTACATTGTGCTTGATCATGTAAGTAGCCACTTTAACGTTTCTTCCTCCCGAACAAGTTGTTATTAAATCAGCCACACCCGCTGATTCTTCCGTAAATGTTGATGGTGAAGGTGGAGCTAATCCTTTTATACCAAATTTCTCCCAATACGAAGCAAAGTGGATAATTTCTTTTATTCCAATTCTCATTATTGCGGCTTTTGCATTGTCCCCCCAACCTGCGCCAATCACAAATCCCACTGCGCAAGCAACTACATTTTTCAAGGCGCCTGCAACTGAAGCACCAACAACGTCTTGTATAACTCTAACATGGAAATAAGGTCTGTGAAATACTTGTTTAAGAACAAACTCGTCAATATCTTTACCCGGTCCTCTAAAATCCGGAGGTACGGTATACCCGATTGAAGTTTCAGACCAGTTTCCTTTGGCTACTTCTGTAGCAATATTGGCTCCCGATAAAACACCACAATAAATACCCAACTCATCAGTTATGGAAGTTGATAACAATTTGCAACCGTCAGAGTCAACTTCTAAACCTTTTAAACAGGAAACGGCTCTTGCTGTTGGTTTCACATGACCTTTCAATTGTTTGCTAACTCTGGGTAAGAATTGGTGTGGAATATTGAATACTAACAAGTCAGCGTCTTTTACGGTATCAATGATATCTGGATTTGCAATCAAGTTGCTTGGTAATTCGATTCCAGGTAAGTATTTGACATTCTCATGGTCGTTATTTATTATATCAGTCAAGTTTCTGCCATCAATGACCTCTTGGAACACCCACATTTGAACATCTTTTTGGAAAATCTCTGGTTTTTCTGAACAGTTTTCAGCAACCAATTTAGCAACTGCGGTACCCCAATTACCTGACCCAATGATGGCCACTTTGAAGGGATTTTCAATACTATAAGGCGTCGATGTAGTCATAATTCTGGATAAATTGATTTTATTAGTGGTGCCAAAGAAAGAAATAAAGATTAAATTATCTCTAAATTTTTTTTTTTTTGGAGCACTCTTTCAGGAGACACAAGTTTTATATGAATTGATAAAAATTTCCGGAGTTGAGATGCCTATTTTATTGACATGAAATTGAGTGTGGTGGTGATAAAGATGATGATATCATAGTAAGATAATTTTAAACTCATCGGTCTCTAAATAATTAAGATTTTTTATTTTTATTTTTATTTTTTTCTTTTTTTTTTTTTATTTTTTCTTTCTTTTTTCAACGCATCAAAGTTCTTTGATTGCGTGAAGAAAATATATATGGTTTTCTTGCAGATAATAAACAAAAGAAAAGAAAAAAGAAAAAGAATGGTCAAATGTAACCGTCTATAGCTGTTACTACTGCAGCAGCTACAACTATCGCCAATACATTCAATACTGCTACTACTACTACTACTACTACTACAACCGAAACAATAGTTAAGTTTATATTGTCTTTTCTCTTTTTCTTTTTTTGATGTTCCTGGATCTCATTTGGTAGCACTGTCTTGTATTTATATGCAGGACATGTATACTTTTCTAATTGCAAAAAAAAAAAGAATGGCAGTTCTTTTTAAGCGCACAAAATATGAAAGGTCAAGTATCCGGCGAAATGAAGTCCAGTAAATAGAGAGACTATAAAATAGCAATAGCAAAAAGAACAAACCAACACCGCAGAAGTTATTTGACAATGATTTAAAAAGAGGTATAGGGGAGGAACAGAGTAGAGAAACAACCTTTAAGTGGCTTCTACGTAGAAGCCACCCAAAGATTCAATATCAATGACGTAAACTTCTTGTTTCAAACAATACTAATATGATTTGTATGTTCAAAAAAAAAAATAGAGGAAAAAAGCCCCCCCCCTCCCCCTTCACAATTCTTTCTTTCCTCCCCCTCCCCCTCCCCCCCTTCTTGCGGGTTCTGTGGCCCCTTCCATATCTGACTCTAATTGCTACCCCTCACTTCTCTCGTCTTCTACCTTATTTCTTTTTTCTCTTCCATCCCTTCTTATTTCTCTTCCATCCCTTCTTATTTCTCTACTACAAGTGTTGACAAATGATCGGACTATATCGATCAAATATGACACTTACCAATTGTAAAAAGAAATTTTTTTTTTTCTATGCATTCCCTAATTAGTTTTACCCCAATACAACTTTCGCCCAACAAAAAGAACCTTCTATTTAGAGAAACGTACACTACCTTTTTTCAGTGGTGGTAGTGCGCATCTCAAAAGATAAGTGCACTACTTATTTCCCTATCATAGTACATTACACATAAGCATGGTAATGGGGCAATTGCATAACCATTGCATAAAGGATTATTATAGTCAAGTAAAATTACGTATATATATTGCGACTGTTTTAAAGTATTACGACAATCAACGTTTGTAATGTCTTAAATTTAATCTCTCGCCCCCTCCGTCCCACATCCATCCACAAATTAGCCCACATTAAGGGGGGTGAATGCAATTGACTCCCGACTCGCTACGGTTCTTTTCTTTTCTCTTCTTTTCTCTTCTCTTCTCTTCTCTTCTTTTCTCTTCTCTTCTCTTCTCTTCTCTTTTCCTTTCTTCTCTTTTCTTTTTTTTGGCAAGAAAAAAAAATGTCAATAATTTACGACTGTTACTAATCTCTATAGAGGTTAGTGTGCTACATAAAACTAAATTGTCTATGATGAGATTTCAATTTACAAGCTGGGTTCTTTTCTTTTTCTTTCTTTTTCTTTTTCAATTATAGTCGTCATCGTGTCTGTAATCACGATACATTTCGTCCCAATGGTGATCTACAATTTGTCCCTTCCTCCATGGTCTAGGTCTCAGTGCTAATGTAGGCATATCTTGAGTTAACCAATCATCATCTCCATCAACCCAATCTCTTGTTTGAACTTGGCCACCACTAATTATTCTAGCCGCAGCAAGTGGATCTGTAATGCCCTCTAATTGACCAACGGATATATGTGCAAGCGGATCTGGTAATCTATTCTCCTCTTGCTGCTGTATTGGCGGTTGAGACTCCTTTTCAAGTTTTTGTTGCTTACTGCTTATGCCAGATGGTAGCGGCAAGTTGGGAATTTGCTCACTACTCCATTCATCGTTATCAAAATGATGATGATGGTCGTGGTTATGTATAGGTTCATGATAATCTATACTTGAACTATTTTGAAACTTGCCTTGATTCACGGTAGAAGATGATGACTCATGAGGCATACTATCAAGTGAATCTTGCTGTTCCCTTATATCTTGTTGATTCTCTACATTAACAAGTTTGTTATCCTGTAATTCAACTTTTTTCCCGCCAATCGAGCTCATTAGCTTTAAGAATTCCGAATTTTGAAATTTATTAGCCATTTCAGAATCATTGGTATTAAACGAATTCATAGTCTTTTCTATTTTTCTCGCTGCTTCAGCAAAAATATCCTTACCTGAATCATCTCGTTGTACTTGTGACTCCAGTTGCAATTCCTTCTCGATCGCATCAAATTCATTCTCAAACTGTTTTTGTTGATCTTCAAATTTGTGAGCTTGTTGGTGTTCCGACTGCTGGTTAAACTGAGGAACCAGAACTGGAGCAGCCACAGCAGGGTTCATATATAGCCCCCCTGTGTTTTGTATTCTACCTAACGAGTAGCTAGGATTCACTTGAAATTGCCGATTAGGTTGTGCAACCTGTTGTGGTTGTGGTTGTTGTTGAAGTGACAAGCCCCCCGGTTGTGCAAACTGTCCCAGCCAGTCATTCTGAATTCTTTGCGATTGCACATGTTGCTGTTGCTGCATCGGCTGCTGTCCCTGATCGATACTCATCTTTGAAAAGTCTTGAATCCACCCACGTTGCTGGTGTTGTTGTTGTAGGGCATGTGGCACATTCGTCTGCAACAAAGGACGGTTCATCCCAATAAACTGGCCAGCGAAATCGTTCCCACCTGCATCCTGATTGAAGTTTTGAAATTCTTGATTCAACTTACTATCGATATTGTGACCTTGTCTAAATTGATGTATACCATGTTGTTGCAGTTGACCCGTAATCCTTTGATGCTGTAGCGATGTATCTCTCTGAGTATGTTTATTCAAGTTCTGTAACGCACTGGATGGTCCACAACTAGCTGCATCCATGGTTATCTACAACTACTAATAGTATCTCTCAGGCTTGTGCTTGAATCACTTAAGTTAGCGCCCTCTCTTTTTCCCCACTTTAACCGAAAATTAAAAAAAAAAAATTAAAAATTAAAAATTAAAAAAAAAAAAAAAAAAAAAAGCTTAAGCCGAGAAAAACAAAAGGCCATCAGAGAAAAGAGAGAGAGAGAGATAGAAAAATATATAGTCACGTGACTAGTTAAAGAATACATTAGATGGTTTCTTCAATTTTATAACCTAGATGTACTATCATCGAACAACTCTAAATATGCATCATGAATATACTCATGAACATTTGACGTTTGCATTGCTCTGCCATGCTTTTTAAATGCTTTGCCACTAGCGACTCGAACTAATGAACTAGCCGCATAACATGCCAAAATATGAGCATCATCAATTTCGATTTCAACTTTATTATCCCACATGGCATCTAGGTAATTATTTGACCAATTGACCAAGGTTGCAATAGCACCGGTTAGTGTATCGCCCTGACCTCCCACCCGCTTCGGCGAACCTGGAAAGCTGTTAACAACCACCAGTTTTGTATTTGCAATTATATCACTTTCTCCCTTTCTAAAAATTAACACATTCCCCAATCTCTGTGAAACTTGTTGAGTTTGCTCAATTAGACTATCTTGAGAATATCGGTTTTTCAAGTCTATTGAAATGTCAAACTTTTTAGCTATTCTTTGAAACTCAACAACATTTGGGGTTAATATTGCCTTTGAGTAATTGGTGATCAACTGAGGTTGTATAGAAAGGAGGTAGAGCGAATCAGCATCAAATATGATTGGCTTATTCAACACTTTGACCTCTTCAACAATGCGTACTAAAGTTTTCAACATTAATGGGTCTCTTCCGAAACCGGGACCAACAACTATAATATCAGTTTTATCGAGTAAGGTTTGAACTTTTGGCAAAACCAAATCGTCGATGATCCTGTTCAATACACCATCATTTGTTGAATTTAGAATATCTTCAATTGATAGTTTTCTTATATTCTTTAATTCATCGTCTCCAATTTTCACCAAGGGATTTTCCAAGTCTAGCAAATAGGGATGAACCATAAGATCGGGGGTGTAGGATTTTATCACTAAAGCTGCCTGTTTCTCACAGATAACGTGTGATAAGTCTGCGCCAACTAATGCCGCCGAATGAGCAGAGAAAAACGGTGCTCCAGTATAATCTTCACTGCCACCAATAACACATACTTTACCAGCTTGACCTTTATGAAAATTTGGTAAAAGCGGCTGTACCAATTGACGTGACAAATGAATCAATTCCTTATGTGTCTTATTGCGGAGCATGGGCTATATACAATAGAGTTGAACTTTACTTATATCAAGTCTCCTCAGATGATCTTTACTCGAATCAAGATTCCTTAGATGATACTTGCTATAAAGGAATAATTGTTATTATGTAATTTTATTGCTCTGCTTATGTAATTACATTACTCTGCTTATATAATTTATGATAAATAACGTGAAAAATTAAAAAAGAAGCTTCTTCCTTTCCAGGCCACCCCCCCCCCCCCCATAGTCCTCTAGTCCTCTAGTCCTCTAGTCCATTAGTCTTCTAGTCCTCTAGTCTAAGTCTAAAGGAGTGAGCAAATGCAATTCCAAAATTCATCGTTTTTACAGAGTTTTGTCAGCATCAGCTGAATACCACCTTAAACATGATTAAAGTACTAAACCATCAAAACTAAACCCGGTGGCTTTCAGTGACAACCCTTCTTCCCACAAAGTGCAAAAACTCTTTCTTTTCTTTAATAAAAGTATCACTAATTATTATTATTATTTATTGTTTTTTTCCCCCCTTTACCCACTGTGTATCGGTAACTCCTTCTTTCACACACTCACTTCGCTTTCAACGGAAGAACCACAGCTATATAACACATTTTATGCGCCCCGGTTTTTTCGCCCAATGATGCAATTGCTTTTTTAGTGAGATTTTCCATTGATACACACTTTTTTCTCCCACCACCCCTTTATATATACCTTTGATTCTATTTCATTTTATTGCCCTTCTCTGTTGATATAAGATCAAGAGAAGCATTCTTTTTTTTTTTTCCACCACTCTTCCCTCTCCTTCTTCTTCTTCTTGTTCTCTTCTTTTTTTTTTTAGGTAACTAGTTGGTAAATCTTTTGTACTTTTTTAAGCAATATGTCTGTTTCGTTGAGTAGGTTATTGACTCCTAGGTTTATGGTACCATTGGTTGGTGTTACCGCTACTTCCATTGGTTTGGCTTATTATTCTACACAACCACAATTTCAAATCAACAATGATTCCGGTAGCAAAAATGATTCCGGTAGCAAAAATGCTACATTCACTGGTGGTGACCAATGGGTTGATTTGAAATTGAAAAATTTCGAGGATTTGAGTCATGATACCAAACATTTGACTTTTGAGTTGAATAATCCTGAGGACACTTCTGGTTTAATTACCGCTTCTATGTTGATGACTAAATTTGTTACTCCTAAAGGTAACAATGTGATTAGACCATATACTCCGGTTTCAGAACCAAATCAACAGGGAACTATTGATTTTGTTATCAAAAAATACGAGGGTGGTAAAATGTCTACTCATATCCATGACTTGAAGGTTGGCGAAACCTTATCATTCAAAGGCCCATTTGTTAAATGGAAATGGGTGCCCAATCAATTCAAGTCAATTGCTTTAATTGGTGGTGGTACTGGTATTACTCCATTATACCAATTGTTGCGCGAAATCGCCAATAATCCAGATGACAAGACTAAAGTGTCTTTGATTTATGGAAGTACTACACCAGCTGATGTTTTGATAAAGGATAAAATTGATGAAATTGCCAAAAAACACAAGGATCAAGTTAAAGTGACCTATTTTGTCAATGACAAAAAGGGTGATGATTCTTGGGAAGGCGAAGTTGGTTACATTACTAAAGAGTTTTTAGAGAAGGAATTAGAAAAACCAAACCCAGATTTCAAGGTTTTTGTTTGTGGACCTCCTGCATTATACAAGGCTATTTCTGGTGTTAAAGTCTCTCCAACTGACCAGGGTGAAGTCGATGGTGCATTGAAAGAATTGGGATTTACCAAGGAAAATGTCTTTAAATTTTAGAAGAAGAAAATGAAAATGAAAAACAACAAAAAAAAAAAAACTAAACTAAAGTCAAGTCAAGCTTCTAGGAGTTCACTTTAAATAGATGATTCTTTTTTTTTTTAGAATTAGGAATCGGTGTATAAAGAAAAAGAACATTTTTTCACTTTTGTTCACCAACAAATAGTTGTGTGTGTGTGTTGTAATCTCATCTCTCTTGCGATTGCGAAAAAAATTAAGGGGAAAAAAGAGTGGTGGAAAAGACCAGTGAAGAGGAAAGACTGGTGGAAAGACCAGTAAAGAGGAAACACCAGTGAAACAGACTGGTAAAGACTGGTAAAGACTGGTGAAAAAGGTAAAGGTAAAGACGAGTGTAATGAATATTTTGAAAGTGGGTATTGAAGGATGTTGTCATGGTGAATTAAACAGAATCTATAGTAATATATCCAAAGATGTAGATTTGTTATTAATATGTGGAGATTTTCAAGCTATTCGAAATAGTGCTGATTTTCAAGCATTGAGCGTGCCAAAGAAATATCAAAGATTAGGCGATTTTCAAGATTATTATACAGGGAAGCGTAAGGCACCCGTATTGACTATTTTCATTGGCGGCAATCATGAGTCGTCGCTGTATCTACAAGAACTTAAATATGGAGGATGGGTAGCTCCTTCTATTTATTACCTTGGGGATTTTGGTTGTGTTTGGTATAAAGGTGTTCGAATATGTGGATGGAGCGGAATATATAATCACGGTACATTTATGCGAAATGCGGCTGCAATGGAGAAGATACCTTTTGATCGTGGAACAATACGCAGTGTTTATCATCAAAAGTTACCAAATTTCATAAAGATGTACCTCATGAAGGAAAGTGATCGAGAAATTGATATTTGTTTAAGTCACGATTGGCCCGTTGGGATTGAAAAGTATGGGAATGAACGGTTTCTTGTACAGAAGAAGCCGTTTTTCAAAAGGGATATTGCAATGGGACAATTGGGTAGTCCTTTAAATAAGATTCTATTGCACCATCTAAAGCCAAGGTATTGGTTTAGTGCCCATTTGCATGTACGGTTTGATGCAGTAGTTAGTAGTGATGGCAGCAATCTGAGAAATGGTAAATCCAAGCTCAAAAGGAAAAAGGTTAAGAACAAGAATGAAATTGAGCTTGATATGGATAAGCTTGAGTCGTCAGGATCAGAGTTGGAGCCAAAGCTAGGGTCAGGATCAGAGTTGGAGCCAAAGCTAGGGTCAGGATCAGAGTTGGAACCAAAGCTAGGGTCAGGATCAGAGTTGGAACCAAAGCTAAGGTCAGGATCAGAGTTGGAACCAAAGCTAAGGTCAGGATCACAGTTGGAACCAAAGCCAGGGTCAGGATCACAGTTGGAACCAAAGCTAGGGTCAGGATCAGAGTTCGGTTCAGAGTCCGGTTCAGAGTCCGAGTCAGATCTTACAAAACAGATGGAAGCTAACAAAAAGCCAAAGTTGAATGCCAATACTAGATCTCATCAAGAGACTATATTTCTAGCCTTGGATAAATGCGGACACAAAAGACAATTTTGGAAAATGATGCAAATTCAAGCTTCTTCAAATGATAATTTTGATGATGAGTCGCATTCAAAGGGTCAACTTGTTTACGATAAGCGCGCTATTGCGATCAACAAAATTGTTGATCAATTAATAAACAGTAACAAGCTTAACTTTAAACCTAGAGAAATTTTGCAAAATCCTAGTTTGATTAGTGAGAATCATTTGTTGATGGAAGGGATCGAAGCTGAAGTAGAGGAACTTATGAAGTTGAACAAAGATGAATTTATAGTACCTGACAATTTCGAAATGGTGGCTCCGCCTAATGCCCATAAAAAGTTGAAATATTATCCTAATGATCAAACAACTGCATACTGTGAAAAATTTAATGTTCCAAAAGTCCAACTATGATAAAAACAAAAACAAAAACAAAAAAAACAAACAAAAAACAAACAAACATAGAGATAAAAATAAAAAAAATTTAAAATTTTAGAGCCGGGTAAGTTGACACTAGGGGAGTAGAGCGAGATAGTGTCGATAGTGACAGTTTATGCTGCTCCACTATCTTGTTTTGCTCAATGAGTCTCGATAATCAAGAGCCGGGTAAGTTTACTAATTTCCTCTTTAGGTGCGCTCTTTTCAAAAACTAACACATTAGTTTTAAAGCCACCCAAATACATAACTACTCTATGTTATTCGAGCAGGGCGAGATAGTGTCGATTGTGTCGATAGTGAGAGCTAGTCAGTGCTGCTCCACTATCTCGCTCCGCTCGATAGTGTCGATAGTGTCGATAGTGTAGATTATTTTACTTTCAAAGTAAGGCGTTAGATTACAAGAAAAAAAAACTAAAAATCAAGCCTTTCTTGTCGCATTCTTGGTATAAAAGGGCTATGACCAACAGAGCAATATTCTCATGTACTTATTTTCACACATGAGATTTGAAAGTATCTACATGATACATGACTTTGCTATTTGTAGAACAATGCTCTACCTCCACATTTTGTTGCGCCACCTCTATTTTCTTACACTTGGAACAATTTTTTCGGCTGATTCAAAAGTCTCTCAATTCAAACCCTCAGAACTCAAAAGAGACCTGTTTCACCCATTGACAAATAAATTGCCATTGGTAAAACCCACAAGCATATATATTCTCTAATCTCTAATAGAGATGTAGTCTATTCAGCCTTACAATTACCGGCTTTACTGGCTTATCAGTTCCAGCTCTTACTACCTTTATTGAGGGTTTGTTCAATAAAAGGCCATCTTTCTTGCCAATTGCCACAGCACCTTTTACGCTTGAAAGTTGGCCTTGTCACTCAAATTCTTTTTTTTCTCTTGTTTATTTGCTCGTTTACATTTCTTTTTCACTTTTTAGCCTTACCTTTGACTTTGACTTTATTCTTTCTTTTATAAAGTTTGACGCTCTTTATAAGGCTGTCTTGGATCTTTTACAAGTTGTTCCCACCCCGTCAAGTATGCCTTATGATTTGCACAACCCTTTGACGGTCTCGCTACCTTACAATTTTGTAAGTGCTCAGGACTACCCTACCGAGATTATGGCCAATAGATTCTCTGCTTGGAGAGCCATTATTAAGGAACTACTAAATTATTTTAAAGAGTATGCTAGTGTCCAAGAGGAAATTGTTAGGCAACAATCTAGATTGGTGCAAGCCTTGAGCATCACTGCTAGAGGAATACTTCTACCTAACGGGAGCAACTACCCTGCCTCACCACCGTCGGGAAGCAGCAATCACAGCTTAGCTGTCAATCAGGATATCGAATTAATTAATAAATCATTTTTACCTATAGGCAATGGATCCGTTCAAGACGTACCGAATGTCTTGTTTAAATATCACCAACAAAACGTCACCAACTCTTCAAAAACACTAAAGGATATAAATGCTATAATTATCCCGAAACTAGAGGAATTGAGGAAAGATTTGCTTGTCAAAATTAAGGAGATTAGAAATCTACAAAATGATTTCAAGAATAACTTGGCAAAGGAAATGGCAGAAACTAAATTGTTGATTGGACAATATAACCAGGCTATTGATATGGCGGGTAAACTTGATGGTAATCACAGCCTTCATAATCACCATGACGGAGATCATGGGAAGTTTGATCCTTACTTGGTGAAGATTAGATTGGATAGACAAATGAAGAGACAGTTGGTGGAGGAAAATTACCTATATGATGCATATGCCAATCTCCAAAGCTCAGGAAAACAATTGGAAAGTATTGTTGTTTCCGAAATTCAAAATTACATGTCAATGTTTTTAAATTTGATTCGAGAAGAAAACTCTACATTTAATGATTATTTGGTCCCAGATATTACCAATGGGTTTTTGTCCAAGGAATCAAATTTTGAGTGGAATGCATTCATCGAGAGAAGTTTACCGTCAAATAATCTTAGTGTTAGTGCCGTTGGTAATCAAACTACATCCTCGGTTAAAAATGGAACTTTTATCGACTTGGATATCCCAAAAAGACATTTTCTGGATTTCATTATTAGGCATTTCGATTCTAATTTAAGTGTTGTTGTACGAGAAGGACCCCTTGAGCGGAGATCAAAGTTTTTGAAAAATTATTCAAGTGCATGGTATGTCCTTACTTGCTCATTTATTCACGAGTTCAAATCAAGCGATAGGAAGAAAGAGCCACACCCAGTCATGTCCTTACCGTTAGATTCATGTACAGTGAGTGATCATTCTAAAGACGATGGTAAACCTAATGGTGTTTACAAATTCATCCTTACCTCGAAGGTGGCTAGTGCCTTAATGAACAAAACTCATAAATGGGTGTTTAGAACTAATACATATCAAAATATGATTGATTGGTTCAACGACATTAGAAAGTTGACCAGTTTACCAACCCCATCGGCAAGGGCACGAACATTGCCAAGCAGGTCTCGTGAAAACGTAAATTCTGCTGCCTTGGCCAAGTCTATATCTGGCGCATCATCGTTGCGTTCACCGTCAAAATCACTGAAAACTATTGATTCAAACAACTCCTCCGGGTCTAATTTGCAGAGAAGTGGAACCAAAAATACAAGGCCATTGTCACAAGCAACTTCCATAGCAAATGCCAAGAGATTGTCATCTACATTTTCGCAAAAAAATAGCCAGTCTCCAAGATTGCCCAACATGGTGAATAGCGATGGCACTTTAATTACACCTGTTGACACATATGGAGATTCGAGACGTAGTTCTAGTTACAAGAATCATCAAGGTGTATACTACCCGCAAGATCAGACGCATCAAAGGCAACATAAACAACAAGAGCAGCAGCAGCAGCAGCAGCAGCAGCAACCGTATCAACAACTGATACCGCAGTTGCGTAGTCAACTGCCAGGAGTTCAGTATCAACCATATCAATTGATCCCTGTTGAAACTATGAGTACTTCCGGAATACCACCTGATCGTCACCAGAATGAACAGTATCTCCCACAACAACAGCAGCAACAGACCTATGCCACTACACCGGGAAACGTGCCTTATTATATACCTACAACTTCACAGCCACAACAATTTTATGATCCTGTTCAACAACAGTACTATACCATTACTCCATCAATACCGAATACCGGAATGAGTCAACAGCCTAGAGCCCAATCTTCACAGCCACAGCCTCCAGCTACACCACAACCTCAATTCTTCTCTACGTCTCCTAAGGCAACTCCAATACCAGTTTTGAGCACCTCACCAATTGTGCAACCTTTCGAACCAGCTTATTTTACAACATATCCTCAGCAAGAACAACAACAACAACTGCAACAACTGCAACAACTGCAACAACTGCAACAACTGCAACAGCAACAACAACAACAACAACAACAACATCCAGTTAGACCAGACTCTGCCCCATACCCAATGTCGCTCAACACGGAGCATGGAACTCAAAGTGAAGCAGCTGAAGAAAATAGTGGTGGCGAGGCAACAGAGCATAGTGGCAGGGAAGCAAGTAACACATTAGTGAATAATGGACAAGACGTATCGCAAGCCACCGGCGGTGTTGATTTAGGTCAAGTTTACGGAGTTCCAAGACAGCTATCAGCTGATGAAGTATCAACTTTGAAAAGCAGCGATGTGAAACAAACCGAAAATACAGTCGACGCTAGTGGAGATATAAACATAGTAATCAATAGAGATACATGAGAATCCCGTATGTTTCAACAACTTTCTATTCTTTTTTTGAGTTCAATCATGAACACGCAGCTGTTCAATTTTATACAAATTCCATATGCAATTTACAGTGAAACCCCCCCCCTCCTCCCCCCCTCTCCCTTTCCAATAAATAAATCAAATTCAATATTTTATTATTATACGAAATAAACAAAACTGTTTCATCTCTAAACAACAACACCAGAGTTTGAAGCAATACGAGGCCATAAATCAGCACACTCTTTAGCAACAGGTCCAGTAATGGCGGATCCTTTCATTTCTCCCTTTGGATTAACAATAACACCAGCATTATCTTCGAAATACAAATAAACACCGTCTCTTCTTCTCCAAGGCTTAGATTGTCTAATAACGATAGCTGGCATAACTTTCTTACGTAATTCTGGTTTACCCTTTTTGACTGTTGCCATAACCATATCACCTGCTGAGGCAGCTGGTAATCTGTTTAATCTTGCTCCTACTCCTTTAACTGCAAGGACGTACAAATTTCTAGCACCGGAGTTGTCGGCACAGTTCATGATGGCACCTACCGGGAGGGCTAACTGTAATAAAGGATTTAGTTAGTAAAAAAAGAAAAAAAATGTTGGACTTTGGGATTGAACTAGCATAGAAGGAAGAGAGAGAAAGTGTATGTGTATGTGTATGTGTGTGTGTGTGTGTTGGGAGTGACAACCCGTGAATTTTACTTCTCTGACTTGATTCCATTCCTTTCATGTCTAATGCGATGCGATGCGATATGTTATCAATAGGTCCATGAAAGGAGTTGACAATAAGTTCATGCATTACGGTGTTGATAAGTCCTGTAATAAGTTGTCAATGAGTTCATCGTTGCAATGCTACAATTCCATTCTCCAAGCTCATTGAAGACAACTCTCCCCTCTAGCACATGAGAGTCAAAACTTCAAAATAATATATATTCACTCTCACTCACACACTAAGTACCTTCTCTCCCACTTGCCATGCTGATCAAAGGGACAAAAAAAAAGAAGAAGCGTTTTCACATACTGACATACGGAATTTGTTTCCTGAAGCTCCTGAACCTGACATCTTTAATGAGTTGTTGTTGTTGTTGTTGTTGTTCTTGTGAAAATACTATTTGTCTGTCAACAAAGGGCTCTCTTTTCCAATAGGTATAATAGCTAATTGAAAATTTTCAATTTACCACTATTAGTGCGAGAAGCGATAGGTGCTAACACAAACTGAAAAAAAACAAAAAAAAAAACTGTGCTACCAGTTGATGGATCAGTAATGTATGGGAAAATATGGAAGAAAAGAAAGAAAAAAAATGAGTTTGTCTGTTGAGTAGGGTTTGTCTACTTGTATGGTCACGTGATCGTATGTGACTGCGACGACATTTATATAATTTTTGTTAGATTGGTATAACGGAATTTATTACTGCTTTAGTAGATTTTGAAAGTAAATAGAATTTTTGGGGGAGTGGCAGTGGCAGCTAGTGTCGCTCTGCTCGATAGTGATAGTGTCGATAAGACGAAAGAAGACAGACAGCAGAGGCGAGAAAAGGACAGACTGGAAAAGATGGAGCTAGAAGGTGTGAATAAGTGATCAATAGTTGTAACTAGCTGGTATAAACTGGTGTTCTGGTTATGATACCTACTATTCCCAATTGAATCGATACTCGTATATTGTTTTTTGAAAATCGCTTAAACGAATGTAGGCTGATTTCCTTCTATCTTATTCCTCTACCTCTTAATCATGCTAGAATTAAAACCACTTTTTGCCGTTAATATCACTACTATATGTTTATTGTGTTTCTTTCTTTCTTTTTACTAAACTGATTCGCCGATAAACTATGACTAGACATAAAAGTTGAAAACTAAAATAGTTGTTTTTTTTACTAATAGCATACTCGCTTAGATGTAGTTGCATTGACTGCTGTTAATCAAGATGACAAGAAATAAACATAAATACCGGATAAGGCGGAGCCATTTAACCGGGTTGGATAATGTATCCTTCTAGAAAAACCATGACACTTGCAGTTGACCCATCCTTCAAAAGAATTGCCTAGTTCAATAATACATGGTTTCTGATACTATACTTTTACACACGGGTTTGATTACATTATTATTTTTTTTTATTTTTATTATTTTTATTATTTTTATTATTTTTATTATTCTTATTATTATTTCGGTATTTTCTGAAACGATATACTTTCAAAATAAGGGGTCATCTTTACAATATGCTTGGCTCTATCAATTCAATCGGTTACGATTGAACTTTTGTTCTTGATCAATTTGGATTCTGAGTCTTTTCTACCTACTGCCCTTTTACACCCTGCTGACGTCCACTTTTCTTCTAAACTTAATACACCGAAGCGCGACTTTGATTGTTGACGCGCGCGCGCTTTGTTGTTTAATTATTGTTAATAAATTTTGTGTTTACAATTTTCTTTCTTTGGTCTTACAAAAGCGCTTGCTTTTTTGTGTGGGCTGCAACACTATTGTTCAGATCAATGGCCAAAAATCAACTGTTTCTATCAAAAAACTTCTCCCCATCCTCTCCCTATAGGTTTCAAATGAAGAAGGATTACATGTGTAAGGTTTAGAGGGCAATACTTGAGAGGAAATCAAGTGATCAAATCTTCTACCAATCTCTTCTGGACTAAGAAAAAAAAAATGTAATTTGATTGATTTTGACCTTTAATTTGTCGATGCTGAAATGTATTTGAGTATATATATATATATATATATATGATGCAATTAGTTATTAACAACTTTCAAAGAACCCGGTTCTCTGGCAATCATATCGGGCAATGATCCATTGCTCAACTTCCTCCTTCCAAACTCAGGTTGTGGTTTTTGTCCACCACCGCCATAATTGTTATTCTCTTCACTTGCCAAAAATGATCCATATGGATGTAGACTTTGTCCATTGTTGTGTGTATTTGCAAGTGGATAACTATATGCATTGGCGTTTGTATCATAATATGAAAACTCTCCATCTTCGTTTTTATGTGACCCAGACGAGTTCCCATTACTTGTTCCCCCACTTGAACTATACCTGTGGTCACGACCATATAGTCCTAGTCCTAGAGCGCTCCCGCTTCCTTTTCTTGATTCTGTACGTGATTGTTGTTGCTGTCGTGGTGTTCCTTGCTGTTGAGATTGTGCTCTGGATGGTTGTTGTTGCTGCTGTTGCTGCTGCTGCTGCTCTTGTTGTGAAGTGTCGAAATGGTAGCCACCAGCAAGTAAGAATGGATTTGGGTCCAGAGGTCCATTGCTTATGGCGGATGGGTGTGTCAAATCACCTTTTTCGGGTCCTGAAAGTGTAAATTGATCGTCGTCTTCATAATCTTCTTGTTTTCTCTTACGGTACCAGCAAAATCCAAGTATTAAAAGTACAATAACTGCAACTCCTGCTACAGAACCGACAACGGCTCCTGCAATTACTCCTCCCGATGTTCCTTTTCGGTGAGTTTTATCTGCGTTGACATCTGCTAGTGACGACGACGACGACGATGATGATAATGATGATTGAGCACCTAAGTTGCCAGCTGTACTAGTTGACAATGATGATGATGAGGAGGAGGAGAATGGTGATGAGGGAGTTGCAATGATTGTTGTATATATCACAGATTGCGGTTCATTATTTGCCGAGTTTATAACAGTTGAAACAACAGTTGTTGGTTTAATGGAAGATGCTACAGTAGTTGTGATTGGAGTGATATTAGAAGATGAAGCAGATTTTGAGGATGTGGAATCTTGAGAATCATCGGTATTCGCCAGCTCAGTAGTTGTTTTCAATATTGTGCTAGTTTGCTGTTGTTTCAGGCTTGAAGAAGAAGAAGAAGAGCCTTTATTATCTTGGTCATTTTCCTTATTGGTAACATCTGAGTTAACGAAAACAGTATAAAAGCCGTTTCCTCCACAATTTTCCTTTCCATACCCAAAACAAACCTTATTACAGTTTGAATCGCTTACTTTGTTTGCAGGATCGGTATCTCCGCAAAAACACTCACCACCATTAAACAATGCAAGTATTCGTTTACCTTGGCATTCTTTTTCGCAATGGTCAGAACTCTGGTACATAAATGATCCTTTTGAATCTAATGACGATTGATCTGGAATTTTAAAACATCCCAATTGTGACCAAGTATCACCATAAACCAATGGGAGAAATAATACAACTGACGAGGAGAATATCAACGTTGAATGAGTAAATATCATTTTCCTCTCTTTAGTTCTCTTTTGCTTGAATACTTTTGGCTTTAGCACTTGGGTTTGATTGGCATTAAAATGTCTCTTTGCTGAAAAGAGTCTAAGTTGAAAAAGAGTGTAAGTTGAAACTAGTGAAAGGAATGAAATGGGGGGGGGGAAAGAAAAATAAAAAAACTAACTAGTTTTGGGGGGTGAAAAACTAGGGCAAAGTTTACCAGCAAACGAGGGGAATTGAAGTAGGAAGTACCTAAGATAAGTGGTTAATAATTGGGAGTTATTCAGTGATAAATCGTCCCCTTTTTCTCGACTTTGATAATGGTTATTTATGAATGATGTGAAAAAAAAAAAAATATATATAGAATGGAATTTGGTGAAAATCTACAAAGTATCACCAGATGAATGTTTTGTAATTTGTCTTGCTTCTTTCTCTCTGACTGTCTCACGTTAGTTTTTTTTTTTTTTCTCTATTTTCCCCTTAGCAGCAGCAGCAGCAGCAGGAGCAGCAGCAGGCCCTCTTCGCCCCCCCTACCTCCCCCCACCCCTTCTTTTCTGTGTGACTTGATCATGAAATTTCCAATTGCCTTTGGAACTAAAAATTATTAGTTCAAGTAAAGAAACGGAAAAAGAAATTTCAAACATAAGAAATAATAATAGTCCTGCAGGTAAAAGATTGAAATAGTAGCACATCATAGATCGGGCATCGAGAAAGAGCTCAAAAGCGGCACTATTAAAAAGGATAATTGGTGGGTGGGTGGTGGAGATGGAGAGGGTGATGGTGGCACTAGGTGACAACTTCTAGAGTATAGAGACACTTTTGGAATATCATTACACTATTGAGCCAATCGAGATAGTGGAACCATATTGAGCAACGTCATATCGGTCATTATTTGATAGACACATCATTTATTGTCTTTGTTCTTCAAAAAGCTTAAAATAGAAGCAAAACAAAAGAAAATAAAAAAATAGAAAATAAAATAAAATAAATAAAATAAATAGACTTAAATTTCAATATGCGCTTAGTCGTGAGTATAAGCTAATGTGCTTTCAAGGCTCATATTACTACCAACAAATCCGTTATTCATCCTTCTCATTTAGCTTTCTTTTCGAGTAAAATTACTAAACAGAGAAATATTACTAATAAACATCTAGGAAAAACCCACTAATAAACATCTAGGAAAAACCCACTAATAAACATCTATCTACTACGTCGGCAATTAACAACTGCTTGTTGTTGTTGTTGTTTTCTCTTTTCTTTTACTTATTTCTATATAGATGCATAAAAAGCAAGCAAATAACAATCTACAGCAAATTGTAGCAACAACAACGTACAAGGTGCTGCAACGGACCACACGGCGCGGGGAAGATCAGAAGAAATATACCGCTACTGACCCACACGGCGCGGGAAGATCAAAAGAATCATACCGCTATGGACCCACACGGCGCGGGAAGATCAAAAGAATCACCTACTCTCTTTTCTACCTGTAGTTTCAAATTCGTGAATATGCTTCTAATTTCATCTATAAAATAAAAAACTTGAAACCTCAGCTTGAAAGTTTTATGCAACGGACCCACATGTCGCAGGAAGATCAAATAGAATCACCTACTCTCTTTTCTACCTGTAGTTTCAAAGTCGTGAATATGTTTCTTATTTCATCTATAAAATAAAAAACTTGAAACTTCAGTTTGAAAGTTTTATGTTTATTTACACTAGAGAGGAATATGACTTATATACCCAATAGAATCGCGTAAACCAAGAAAAAAGAAAAAAATTTATAACGCCATAGCCAAAGCCTCTCATACCTTTCAAACTTGTCTCTTCCTTCCACCACTGGACCGGAGGTAAGAAAAAGAAACAAATCGAGCTGAAATTAATGGATTTCTCGGGTGGCCTTTTTTTTCTTGATGGGGTTTATTCTTGATAGAGATTAATTTCATGGGGTTTCTTTTTCATGGTTATTTTTCATGGTTATTTTTCATGGTTATTTTTCATGGTTTATTTTTCATGGTTTATTTTTCATGGTTTATTTTTCATGGGGTTTAGTTTTCATGGGGTTTAGTTTTCTTCATGGCTTTTGTATTAGACCACATACTAAACAATTGTAGAAACTAAAGGCTATTAGTTAGCTTTAGGCACTATGAAGCTCTACAATTCTGTGCTATTTTACTAGAATGAAGGAAAACGTAGTTCACCACTATCAACACTATCGAGCGAAGCGAGATAGTGGAGCAGCACTAGCTTCCAGCGACAGTACCAACACTATCGAGGGAAGCGAGGTAGTGGAGCAGCACTAGCTTCCAGCGACACTACCAACACTATCGAGCGAAGCGAGGTAGTGGAGCAGCACTAGCTTCCAGCGACACTACCAACACTATCGAGCGAAGCGAGGTAGTGGAGCAGCACTAGCTTCCAGCGACACTACCAACACTATCGAGCGAAGCGAGGTAGTGGAGCAGCACTAGCTGCCAGCGACACTACCAACACTAATGGAGCAACACTAGTGTAGCAATACCAGCTGCCACTGACACTACCTCACTTCGCTCGATAGTGGGGCACTGACTAGCTGCCGCCGACACTTTGTAGCTTGTTACAATACTATCTCTATCTGCTCGATAGTGGGGCACACTGACTAGCTGATTTAAGATAATTCTATTACAATTACTGAATACCCAAGTATCATTAAAGCTACTCCACTATCTCTCTCTGCTCGATAGTGGGCAGCTCGATAGTGGGCTACTCTCTAGTGAGCAGTGGACTCGAATTTTTTGGCTGCGAAAAAACTTTGCAATTGTAATCGTTTTTTAACCAAAATATTGTCTCATTTATCAATATACTAAAGAACCAGTCTTAAGTAGAGCAACAACACCAAATAAAAGGGACACAGGAGCATTGATTACTCTATTTTCATACTACTTTAAATTATATTTGATAAAAGTTTTCTAAATCAAACTCTAAAATAAGAGCTTTAAGGTGAGCCCACTATCGAGCAGCCCACTATCGAGCAGCCCACTATTGAGCAGCCCACTATTGAGCAGCCCACTATTGAGCAGCCCACTATCTCGCTCTGCTCGATAGTGGAGTAGTTTCAACGATACTTGGTAAAGGTGCCAAGTGTTGCTCCACTATCGAGCAGCCCACTATCGAGCAGCCCACTATCTCGCTCTGCTCGATAGTGGAGTAGTTTTAACGATACTTGGTAAAGGTGCCAAGTGTTGCTCCACTATCGAGTAGAGCGAGATAATAAGCAGCTAGTGGGCAGCTAGTGGGCAGCTAGTGGGCAGATAGTCAGTGTTGCTCCACTATCTCGCCCTGCTCGATAGTGTCGCCCTGCTCGATAGTGTCGCCCTGCTCGATAGTGTCGCCCTGCTCTCCGTCGCCATCGGGGCAGAAATTTTTTTTGTAGTGCGTGCTGGCTCCACTATCTCGCTCTGCTCGATAGTGGGCTGCTCGTATTTGGTATCAAATTTTTCACCTCTCCTCATCTTTTCTTCTTCCTTATGTCAATGAGGATATAAAAAGGTACTTTTCCAAAGTAGAGGTTTCAACTCATGTCTCTATTGATGTGACTATATATATACCTTTTACTTTATCCTTTTAAAATTCTTAGAACAGCGCATTAGCCCTTTTCGCTAACCATGATCATATAACCTTAGATCATCGTTTGATAGTAGTGGGGCTAACATTTTGTAAAACAGATTTATTTATCCGTAAAGTACTTTGGTGAATGACTCTCTATTCTTGTACTATTAACCTGGAGTCAGCCACTCCCCTTTATACATATTTACTCTAGTATTATGGCACTTTGCACTTTGTTAAAGTGGCCATGTAATCGATGATGACAATGTTTGTTACTTTTTTTTGCTCATCTCAAAAGTTTGCTATTAGGTGTTGGAAACGAGTTAACTTTAGAGGATAGCAATGGTTTCTATACTAGCTATAGACTCGATAGTAGACAACTATGAGTCGGCGATTCACCAGCTCAAATTGCCAAATCTTGAAACACTACATTTGACTGGCACGATTGACACCACCACCATGTCACCGTATATAGCCAAATACAAACTACAGTTGATCCAAAACTCCTTAATAAACCTTTTATCTACATTGAACAATAGTTACAAAACAAACAAGTCTTATAATCGAATAAAAGCTAAACTCGAACTGGTGTTAATTGACCAACTAGATGAGAAAATATACATTGTTGATCAATTAATCAAAATGTACGATTTGAAAAACACGCCAATTGCTGACCCACTCGAGGATCATCAATCTTTGGGTATACCCCAGCAGCAACCCGTAATCGAAGAGGAAAACTTATCTGAATTGAGAGAAAGATTACTTTCAACAAGAAAAAAAGATGAAAAAGAAGAACAAGACCTAGATAAACTCAACACCTATCATGAATCTATCCAGGATGATATACTCAATGAACTATCACAGCTCACCTCCCTGCTCAAGACAAGTGCAATGACTTTCAGTTCAAAGATTTTGGGAAGCGATTTACATATATTGAACGAAACTAGTGAAAACATGATCAAAAACTCAAATTTATTCAAAGTTATTGATCGCAATTTGAATGACTATTTGGAGAATAAAACTGGTAATAAAATATCCTTGTGGTTCTTATTAAAATGTGTTGTCATAATTGCTTGTGTTTTCTTAATTATGATCATATTTGTTGCAATAGTACCTAGAATCAGGTGAGAATGAAGGAAGAGGAGGAGCTACAGCGGGAGAAGATAATAAGATGTGTATTTTAGCATTGGAGAATAGAAGGATGCTAGTTTAAGTAATAAAATAAAAAAGGAAAATTAAATAAGCAAAAACCGAGGACATAACATCATGATAAAAATGAAAAGTAGCAAGGAGGTACCAAAGGAGGATACGAGTGTGGAAATGCTTCTCTTCCACCCTTTCCCATTTTTCTATTCTTCAAGCTGTAAATATATATATATATATGTTTTTTTTTTTAATGGCCATTAGTTTGAATTTCAAGCCTTTCTAAATCTGGCAATGACTGTTCTTCCTGCTGCTGCTGCTGCTGCTCTTCTTCTTCTTCTTGCTTTTGCTTTTTCTCCTCTTGTTGTTGCTCTTGTTGTTGTTCTTGCTCTTGTTGGTTTCGAGATAAAGGAGTATGTCTATCGTCTTCCTCAGAAAAAGGACTCATGGCGTGTTGTGACTGATCATCTAAAATTCCCAATGCACCTCCAACAGAAGAATGTTGTTCACCGTGTCCCAGATTTTGGCTTTGGAGATGATCTGGTTTTTGACTTTGTGCTTCTTCTTGACTTTGACCAGGTACATGGCACTGATTTTCACTTTGACTTTGACTATGTACATGGTTGTGATTATAGTTTTCATTTTGATTTTGGCTATGACTACGATTATGATTGTGGTTATGATTGTGATTGTGATTTTGATTTTGGTGCTGAAACTGTCTAGGTAAATTGCCACATCTATCCTTACCGAAATTGATTTTCAAGTTCTTATAATCAGGAAACGATTTGATTCCATCAATTGCCTTTATTGCATTGGCGATATTAACAAAATTAATAAATGCACAATTCTTTTCTTCCAAGTAATTAATCTGTTCAATTTCACCAAACTTGGAAAAATCGGCTCTTAGTTTCTGCGGATTATACAATTCAAAATCATTGTTCAAATTACCAATGTATATGTTTCTTGAAGCGCCATTAGAAACAGCCAAACTTAATGCATTACTCAATGGACCGGAATGTTTACCCCAACCAACTTTAATTCTACGGTTATGAATTGTCAATCCATGTAGTTGACACATGGCATAGAATTGAGCCGCGGTAATGGGGTCAATGAATGTAATAAAACAAACATGACGCTCTTTAAGAAATCTAATACTTTGTAATAATCCACCACGAACAACATTGCAAATCTCTTCAACTGAAGAATCTTGATGTAAATTACCCAAATAAACAGTCCGGTTCCCCAAATTGTTAGCACCACCTGCTTGTGTTGCTATTTGAGCAGCTGCAGCAGATTGTTGAACCAAGGCACTTGATATGAACTCACGATCAGCTGCAGTCACAATATGCTCCATACCTGGTGCTAATCCTAAATATTGAGCTGCATTGTGTTGTTGAGTCTTGGTGATAAATGCACACCTATCTTTTCCGTAAAAGCATTTTTTATCCAAATACTTTTCTTTAAGTGGTAGATTGGCAACACATCTAATAGCACTTAAAATACTAAGGAAATGAATAAATGCAATTCCCTTTTCAGGAATAATCTTTACAGAATCTATTATACCATAACATGACAAATCATCTCTCAACTCTTCTTCAGTGATTATCTCCCCTGTAATTGGATTATTCAAATTACGCAAGTAAACGTTTCTTGTGGCACCATCGCGCTGAATAGCTTCCATAACAGCAGGTAAAATCGAAGTATTCTTACCCCAGCCGATTCTTATATCATGACCTCTAATATTTAGTTTTTTCAAAATGCAGTCTGAATGGAACAATAAAGCCAGTTGGTGATCAACAAATGAAATGAATGCGCAATTCTTCGAAGGTAAAATCTTGACATTTTCTAAAATTCCTGAACGTACGTAATCCAATAATTCATTTGGCTGGATGTCTGATGGAATATTGCCCAAGTACACAGTTCTAGAAGGCGCGGCAGCGGATGTTCCAATATTTACCTCGTGGGCGGTATTGGTAGATGGAAAGACATCGGGCTGTTGTTGAAAGTGCTGCTGCTGCTGCTGTTGCTGTTGCTGCTGTTGTTGTTGTTGAAAGTGCTGCTGCTGCTGCTGCTGCTGTTGTTGTTGTTGTTGTTGTTGTTGTTGTTGCTGTTGCTGCTGCTGTTGTTGTTGTTGGTGCTGCTGGAGTAGCAGTTGTTGAGCAAACCCCAAGCTGTTCATTCCATTGTCATAATCTATAGATGAATTTGCGTAATTTAGGAGTCCATTTTGCATCATATTATTACCGTTGGCAAACGATCCATCTTCGGTATAGAACTCACCACCAATGGTAGTGCCAATTACAGGAGCATCAATTCCATTATTGGCTTGTCCATAAATATTGATGTCATTGGAATAAAAAGAAGCTCCACCAACCTCGCCACCACCAACTCCACCAGTGGGACCCACGTTGCCACCAACACCACCAACACCACCAACACCACCAGCACCAGCACCAGCACCACCATTATCAAATTCCTTCCCATTATAAAAATCCAAATCAATCATTTGGGAAACATTCTCTACCGGAAAACTGGAATAATTTCTCTTTGATCCATTTGCCGTTTTTTCACCAAATTGGAAAGCATCGTGCTCGTTAAAGTTTTGTTGCGAGTAATACTGGGGGTAATATTGTTGTCCAATATACTGCTGCCCCATTCCTTGGTAAGGATCATAATACGACATCTTTTCTTTTCTTTATTAAACAAAAAAAAACCAAAAAAATCTTTCAAAAAAGACAAACCAAAAAAATAAGGTACCAAAGAACCAAGAATCGGGAACCCTAGACGAATTTAAGTAATGAAGTCTAAAAAGTTGAAAAAAAAACAAACAAGGATACCACTGATAAAACCAAAATGAAAAGGGATAAATCCCCTAAAAAGATTATAAAAAAAAAAAACCTCTAGAAAAAGGGTGAAAAATATATGCAAAATAAAACTTGAAATGAAGGAATATAAGACCGGCACACAAGGCGTCACTTACACACACACACGCACACGCTAGAACCAAAAGAAAGAACTGAAGCAGTTATAGTTCTTATTAATCTTCTTCCTTACCCTTTTACCCAAAAAGACTTTTGTATCCTAACAATTGAATGTAAAATATAAAACGTCCCTATAAGCTAAGAAAAGAAAGATTCAAAGATTTAGTTTTTTTTTTTTTTCACTTTTATTTTTTTCCTTGAAAAATTTTGGTCGAATCCATTCCACTATCGAGCGACACTATCGAGCGACACTATCGAGCAGAGCGAGATAGTGGAGCAACACTCAGTAGCTTGTTACAACACTATCGAGCTCCACTATCTCGCTTTGCTCGATAGTGGAGCATACTCACTAGCTTACTACGACACTATCGAGCAGAGCGAGAGAGTAGAGCACATTGACTAGTGACACCAGAATGACAGAAGGTGTAGGTGTAAAAGTATGAGAAGATATAAAAGTGTGAGAAGATATAAAAGGTATAAGAAGATAGTATGAAAGCCAAAAGGTAAAAGAGTAAATGAGTTACTAATAGTACAATACAAGGAAAGAGAAAGGGAGAGCAAGAGAATAAAAGAGACTAAAGTAGAAAGAAAGAGGAAGAGGATAAAAAGAAGGAGGAAGAAAAATAGAATGAGAGAAAGTGAGAGAGAAAATAAAGAGAGAAAAAGAGAGAGAAAAAATATTAGTCGATCTGATGAAAGCTTTATTTGGATCTCTAGATGATCTCATAGTTTGATCTGTAATTTGATCTGTAATTTGATCCGTAGACCTTTTTTTTAAAAACAGGCTGTTGATACTATATACGACTATAGCAGAGTGTCGGCGTAGACACTATTGAGCGGAGCGAGATAGTGTCACTAGTCAGTACTACCACTATCGAGCGGAGCGATAGCGTCACTAGTCAGTACTACCACTATCGATCAGAGCGAGATAGCGTCGATAGTGTCGCTCGATAGCGTCGATAGTGTTCCTGTTAAAAGCTGCTCCACTATCGAGCGGAGCGATAGCGTCGATAGTGTCGCTCGATAGCGTCGATAGTGGTCCTATCAAGTACTGCTCCACTATCGAGCGGAGCGAGATTATTTCGCGCAGCTATTGAGTACTGCTCAATAGCGTCGACAGTGGTCCTGTTTAGTACTGCTCTACTATCGAGCAGAGCGATAGCTTCGGTAGCGGTCCTATTAAAAGCTGTTCCACTATCGAGCGGAGCGATAGCGTCGATAGTGTCGCTCGATAGCGTCGATAGTGTCGCTCGATAGCGTCGATAGTGTTCCTGTTAAAAGCTGCACCACTATCTCGCTTTGCTCGACAGTGTCAGTAACAGTCTATGCTCTACTATCTCGCTTCGCTCGACAGTGTCAGTAACAGTCTATGCTCTACTATCTCGCTTCGCTCGATAGTGGAGTGTAAGTCTTAGATGAGGTTGTCCCTGAGCACAGGTGCTAGCCAGTGTAGTCAATGCTGCTCCACTATCTCGCTCCGCTCGATAGTGTCGATAGTGTCGATAGTGTATCTCCTACAATTCAATCATCATCTGAGCTATACTCTGTTGTCTCTCCTTCGGTTTTAACCTCGTTTTCAGCTTCTAGTTCCTCATCAGTTGAAGAATTCGCAGCTATTGCATTTTGAGAAAATTTCAAATCCTCTCTATTAAAGATTGGTTCTGCGTGAGAAATGAGTTTAGTTTTATTTTCCAAATCTTGCTTGTTTTCTTTTGGTACAACGTCAGGCTCATTTTTGACCTTGATCTTGGAAAAAGCAGATTCATCCTTGATTTTGGAATAAGGCTCATCCTTAATCTTGGGAAAAGGCTCATCCTTAATCTTGGGAAAAGGCTCATCCTTAATCTTGGGAAAAGGCTCATCCTTAATCTTGGGAAAAGGCTCATCCTTAATCTTGGAATAAGGCTCATCCTTAATCTTGGGAAAAGGCTTATCCTCTGCTGACAATGATTTTAATGGTGACTCTGTTTCTTTCTTTATCTTGACCCTTGGGAGTTTATTCTCCTCCTCAAGTGTAGTTTCACTTTTCTGACTCTGCTTTTCTTCTTCCACCTTCTCCATTTCCTCCATTTCCTCCACTTTTACCTTTCCCGTTTTACGTCTTTTACTTCCCACTGGTTTCTCCTTCTTCACTCTTTTCTCAGCTTCACCTTCCTTTACTGGTAATGCACCCATATCGATATTTCGGAGTTTCCTCACACCACCAACAAATCCTTGATTTAATCCAATCAATTCATCACTAGGTCGACTACCTTTTGTCAACTCATAAATAACATCTTTCTTTGCATTCAAAACTTGGTAAAATTTCGATTCCAAATCAAAAACTATATCTTGATTGTCTCTTTTCGCTATTTGCAAACCATCTTCCAAGAGCAAGTTAGCCTCTTGAACTTGATTTAGACTCGCCTTGCATTTCACAAGACTATTTAGCAATTTTTCATTTTGCGCGCTATACAAAGCCATCCAGTTTAACAAATCCCGCTCATCTTCTAAATACTCGTAATCTTCAAAATCAATTGCCTTCATTGTGAAAAGCCCCACAGTGGGCGAAAACTTGGTATTGCTCTTGATCAATATAGTTAAATCGTTATCAATTCTGTCTGTAACTGGTACCCCCTCTGCATTATAATCACTTTTACTTGCTTTAATTTTGGCACTTAGAAACAAATTTTGATGGCGTCCGTCTTTCTCTTTGCTCTCCACCAAACCATCAAGGTCGAGCGGGAACAAATTTGTAAAGATCTCATATGCATCACCAGGCTCAATCTTGGAAATTGATTCTTGTTTGAAAATTGTGTTAAAAACTTCTCGGGTGACTTTAATATGATAATAACCAAGTGACCAGATTGCAACCAATGACATATTGATAAACGTAGGATCCAGACTTGGCTCGTAGTCGGCCTTGCTAACATGTAACCAGATGTTTGAGCTTGCTATTGTTTCCAGAGTCGCTTCATCCTCTACTAATAAATTGAGCTTCAAGATATTTCCTGGCAATGGCTCCTTCTCTCTTTCAAGAGAGCTCATATTTATGTTAATGCAAGTAGGGATATCTCTAGATTTAAGCGCCCACGCACTTGCTGCAACGTTTTTTATTTTTATTTTTTTTCCTTTTTTTTTTTTCCTTTTTGTGGTTTGGTTAAGTGCTATCAAATGACCCAATTACATCCACTTGGCTTCCTCAGTTTTATACAGCAAGTCAATGTTAGTTCTGTCACGCCTACCTTTTACCATAATAAAAGACTAATCCAAATTTAAGCGCAAATACCAGCTGCAAATTAGAAAATTGCTTGTACCTCACTATCGAGCAGAGCGTAAAAACAAGTCACACTATCGAGCAGAGCGTAAAAACAAGTCACACTATCAAGCAGAGCGAGATGGTGATATAACAAGCTAGTCACACTATCAAGCAGAGCGAGATGGTGTAACAAAATAGTGAGTGTTTTTCCCACTCCTCCAAAAAAAAGAAATACAACTAGGCTGCAAAAAAAGGGAAAGGAGTGACAGAATGAAAAGTAGGAAAAGTAGGAAAATAGTAGGGTAACAAAATGATTGTTTGGTACTTTCTTTGGGAAACTTTACCCACAACTTGTCATTGAATAAACCTTTATCAAGAAATACGGGTGGACGATACAATTACTTTGCTTCAAATCGATAATCTTCTATATATATATCCTAGTAAAATATTATTTACAATAATGCCAAATCAAATATGTAAAATAAAATATGCAACGCTTCTTCTTTTTTGCACCTCGCACCTCGCACCTCCCTTTCCTTTTTATACTCAATAAAATGGGGACCAACCTTGATAAATTAATGCCAAGTTTTCTGGATTTGTGGCTTCTTGAATCAACTCACGTACAGCAGCTTCTATACTTAACCCATTTGCAGCCAATTTTTCAGAAACTGTGACTATTGCCCTCCCTGCTTCAGAACCATCATTTTCCGGTTGCATAACACCACCCGCCTCCTCTTTTTGTAACAGTTTTTTTCTCGTTGGAGACAATGTCCAGGAGTACAAAGGATCCCATCGTAAAACATCCAATATAGAAATAATATGCTCTTTATTCTCTCTTAATACTCTCATTGTATGCTCACAGGATTTTTTGAAAACACCTTCAACTCCAGTGACACCTAGACCATCAACCATATCTCTAGTTAACCGAAATGGAACAGTTTCGGGTACAGGAAGACTATGTCCCTGATCAAATGCAACACCAAGATCAATATGAATGGGTTCTCCACTCAGCTTGTCCAATAAGATGTTGTTACAGTGCCTGTCCCCTAGCCCCAAAATGTACCCCACTATTGATGAAGTAGCAACGCCACGGGAATATTTCACTCGACTATCGAACCATGAATCAGGAGTCAAAAAATTGTTTTGTAAAAAATATCTCAAAACGGGCTTAACTTTACACTCAATGTCTTTGTAAACCTTGACTCTAGCTTCTTTACCTTGTGATTGCACTCCAGCCATGAGCTTTCTTGCTTCACCTATTTTCAATTGATCAAATTTGTTATGATATTGAAGAATACAATCAGAAAGGGATAACGAGTTTGGCACAAACTCAATTATTCCTGATTTGGGTCCAAGAGGAACAACATTATAAGTCCTGATTGTCAAGTACCTATTGCTACACTCTTTATCCTTTTCAAAGATATTTTGCACTTTTCCAAAAACTTGCTCCATAATAGAATCTTGACGAAGATCATCAGCTCCGTACTTGAACAATATTCTGTGCTTTGAACCATCCGAGAGAATAAATGAAGCAATTTTGGGCTTGCTTAGGCCCGAGTCAGATATTCCAACTTCAGGTCGTACTTGCTGCAAAACAGGGATATTGTCATACTTCAAGGTGTGATCAACCTTTAATGTCTTTGTAGGTGTTGGAATTCTTGGTAAAGAATGCAACCAGTATGCTCCAAGTGGCGTTTTTTGCAAATTCATCGAGTGGCCAGTTGCTTTAACTTTTGTCAATTTGACACACTCCTCAGTAAATTTAACAAATGGCAACAATACGCCATTTACGTAGCAAGGATCCTTAGTCAGCAACTCTTGTAAAATTGACTTTGCCGAATTAGCTTTTGAAAAAAGGAGCGAATTTGAGTCCTTTTTAGCTTGTTCTGCTTGCAATTTCAATGAAATTAATAAATGCAAAGAGTGATAGGGATGGTCAGCGCACATGTTCAAAATCAATTGTCTCAACACTAATTGAAACCGCAGAGTTTCAGTAACAAGCCTTGATACTAATTGTGAACACCAACTCAACAATTTATACGTTGGCAACGCGAGTAATTTTGGTTCAATCTTTTCATGCAAATCATTGTCATCAAATTGTTCCAACCAAAGCGCAACGAATTTGTCAAGATCTCTTGCAGAATCGCTCCCCATGCTTAAGCTTTGCAAATAATATTCAACCGCTTTGGAAAAAAACTGTTTCTTATTCGCTTTAGCTTCAGCTAGTTCAAGCCTCTCTTTGTTGTACAACGATTTCAACTTTGTCAAGTACTTGATAGCCAATCTTTTCTCACCACTGGGTAACTCATCAACGTGTACTTTTTCCTCTCTAACTTGATTTTTCTTCTCCTGAGACCGCTTTTCCAACAAATCAATCTTTTCGTTTAAAGATCTCGATTTAAACTGTGATTCACAAAATTTTGCAAACAAATGGAAAATCTGCACTTGCTGTTTTGGATCTGCAAGCATCATTGCTTTTTCTGCGGTTGGAAGCACTTGTGTGGTCATTAAATTTGAAGCCAAGTCTTGTCGAGATTCAGACATCCATTCCACCATCATAGCTCGGATTAAGAACTTGTCCACTTTTAAATCTCCATCTTGAACATCTACACCGCCTGAATTATACAATTCCTTCAACATTAAAACAGGAACATTCGTATTTCCCTGGGCCCACAACGTTTGTGCTGCTTGATACAATGACAAATTCATCATATTTTGAGATAACGAAATTTCAAAACTTTGCAATTTTTTGCATATACCGTTTATGAGGATCATTGACGAGATCATCTTTTGGTTTTCCTTGTTTTGTCGAGCCAAATTGTTGTACTTGACCATTTCAATTAATGACAGAAACCACAACTCATCAGCTACCAGTTTCAGTTCGGGGTCTTCCGCCAATACTTGCAACACTGTTTGTCGTGCAAGAAGAACATCCTCAAGCATTTTAAACTCAACCGAAAACGGTTCCCGTAAAACAATTCCAGAGTCTGACCCATTGACTAAATCTGAGATACTCTGTACACATGCCAATGATTTAAGCCAGCTCCTTGTTGCCTCTTTCTTCTCTTTGATGCTGTTGCTGACCCCGTTGCGGTCGATATCGAGTACTTTAAGTAATGCCTCTTGACAGATACTATGACGACGAATTGACGAAGAAGGGGAGGAGGACGAGTCATGAATCTGTTTCAATACACCATATATGATTTTGTTTGTGCATGATGTATCCTTCGGTACAGGTTGCACCCACTTTGAAAGTTTCCAGCTCCATTCATATTCATCACCCGAATGTGCTGTAGAGTCGAGGTTCTTACTCATAAGCTGCGCCATACCTAGCATACCAGCTTTAGACACAGATTCAACACATGTCCACGCAGGAGGTTCATCCAACTTCAAGCTTGTATCCAATAAGCCACTGCTATATTGGAATTGGGTAGTAGTAGTGGTCGTGGAAGTGGAAGTGGTCGTGGAAGCGGAAGTGGAAGTAATCGCACTGGAAGTATTGATCATACTCAATATGTGTTCCAAAGTGGTTCTTTCTGGTAAACCATAGATCAAATCCTCATAATCGAGATTTTCATAAATAGTACGCAATTCATCGTAATGGATATCCAACGGGTCAGTAAAATCATCATTAAAACAAGCATCTTCGAAAAGCATCATCGCAGTTTTAAACATTTTCAGCTTTATAGCTACTTGATAATATTCTTTCACACTTACTTTATCAAAGACTCTTTTATATGCACTGAGCCGGGAAGTTTTAGCAGCAATTCTTATATACCTCAACACGTTAAGAAAAGTACTTGATGCAAGAACAGGTGTATTTTTCACTATATTCAAAAAACAATTGAAAATGAGTGATATTTTATCTTCTCCTTGACGCCCTCCAATGCTTAAATAAAAACAAACAAGGGGAGCAAGAGTTTCTGTGGCAAATGACGGCACTTTAATTACAAACGCACTCATGATGGGCCCCAAACTGGTAAACTTACTCAATTCTTGTAATATCGCCAAATAAAGGGTCACGCACCATGTATCAGAGTGTGTTTTGAAAAAAGCTTCGAAATTTTGACAGATTTGATCCAATGTAATATTTTTATATTTGATCTTTGTTTCATCGTTGAGTAATACACAGGTCAGAAGGCTCATGGGTAATATGTAATGGCTGAACCTTTCCGCAATTACTTGGAAGTTTATAAAACGTGATAAATCTTGTGGATCTTCCAAGTGCTTCATTATGAGACATCCCAACACAGATTCCGCAGTTGCACAATCAATATGATTATTACTAGCAGTGTAGCGGTTTGCCAATGCTTGTATTGCTTGGTCATAGTACTTGGCATTTTCTCCAAAATCATCAATTGTTACATTAGGAAACTCAAGTGGTTCCACAACATCCAACAGCTTGATTGTACTCGATTTAAGGTAAAAACGCGATAAGTAGTTTGAGATCCAAAGCTTAAAACCTTTTGACAATTGCTGTATTTGAGAACTTGGGAGACCGACCAAAAATTGAGTAACTTTTGAGTTCTCAGGAACTTCTTCAGTTGAAACATCAGCATCAACATCAATATAATCAAACACCTCCGATAATAACGCTAACAAAGTTTTTGAAGTGCTCTCAGTTAAACAAGACACCATGTCGGACATTTGCATTTGAATATGTACCGATTCCCCAGATAAAACTTTTATTGCAGCCGAAACAATTTTGAGGTATGAGTTTTCCTCCCTGTTGAAAGTCTCAACATTATCCAAATAGTCCTTCACTTTGCCAATAACCATTGCATAAAGAGGATCAGCACAGCTAGACTCTTTAGTGTTGTTGTTTGAGCTAAGAAACAAGGCATAGGCGATCTCTGTTATCACGTACAACGTTTTGGAAATTTCGTCTTGATTGCCATGATGATAAAGATTACTGAACAGGGCAAAGATGCAAAGAATGTCGTTAACTAGCAAGTAGCTATTATCTCCAACAAGAAAAGGGGACAAGGTAGAAGCCAACATCCCCATCGCTTCTACGGACAAAGGGTCTCCACCACTGGATAACAAAATGACCAATTTGATTCTCCTTAAAATAACGGCGTTGTAGCAAAATTCGGTTTCCAGTGGGTCCAATAAGGAGCTTATTTGTCTGATCAAAAAATATGTATTCTGCATTGACCAAAACTCCTTACCCGGATCACTATACTTGTCTACAATTTTATTGATCAATTCCACGCCTGATTTCATACAAATGCTCAAGTTTGTAGAAACGTCGAAAGTTTTTGAGTCAGATGTACCAACCAAAACTGAAGTCAATGTATCTTGATTTGGAAACATCACTCCAACGTCGGTTTCTTTCAGTACGTCAATAAATTTGATAATCTCTAAAACTAATAAACTTAATTGCGATTGTACTTCACTTTTATAATCCTTGACATATTTCGCCAATAGTTCAAAAGCCAGATTCTTAACACCGTACTTGGTATACGACAAGGGTATGAATAGTGATAAACTTTCAGCAACTATTGTTTCCAATGTAACTTTCTTTAAACGAGCAAGGTTAAGTAATGTTTCGCCTGCACGTTGCTGTACTTTTTCATTTGGTGGTTTTGTTGATACTATACAAGCGACAAGGTCGCGATAGTTTTCGCTCAAAAAGTCATCGAGACACTCATACTCAAATAATGTGAATGGAAACGTATCAAAAGAATCATTAATCCACCAGCTCCTCAATAGTTCGAGTTTAAATTGAACAAAAATATCGCGAATAGTGACATCGCTGGACCTGGACCTGGACCTGAACCTACTCTTGATAATAATATGATTCAAACATTTCTTCAAGTATGGAACAAGAAATGGAAACGTAGAACATTCAAGTAAATTGAACAATGCCATTGAAAAGATTTTGGGCAGTGCAGATGCCAATTTGGCAAAAAACAATACGTATGTCCCACCAGTCTCAACAGAAGACTGAGGATCACCAAAAGTATCGAATAGCCTGGAGTAGATTATTTCCTGTCCCAAAGAGCTCAGCTTTGCTATAAAACTTGAAACTTCATCTACAATATGAATTCTCATTTCATTAGTCGACTCTGATATTTGTCGATATATTTCATTTTCCAAATCTGATCTCTTGACCACATGGTCATTTGCCACTTGCAAATAGCTTATGAGGAAATCTACGTAAAACCGTAGTGAAATAGTTGTTGTGATAAAGTCTTTGCTTCCCAAGGCATATATCCAAGCAATAACATCATTACAATCTTTGACCAACGCTGAATCTGTATTGGTATTATTTTCAACTAACAAAGGAACCAAAAGCTTCAACATTTTTGATACCATAACCAATACCATTTCATTTTTTTCAAACCTTTGGTCTGCTAATATTCTATTCCCAAGAAGTCTGATTAGCTGGGTAACAGAAAGAGTCTCTTCTGGCTGCATGGTAGTGATTCTCGGCAACACCCGGTCTACTAAAAACCATAAAACGGATAGAATATGCGTATCACCGATATGCTCGGCAAATGTAAGTAATTCTGATAAGCTATCAGAAATCCGTTTGAGTTCTAAAGTACTTTTGAACATTTTGAATTCGAGTAGTTGGAAGATTTGCGGTTGGCTGTGTTGTTGCGACAACTCCAAGTAAGTGATGTCTATTTTCCATTGTTCTGCTGGCGAAGTGCTACTTTCTCTTACAGTTGCAAACTCATTACTAACAACGGCATCATAATCATCATCTTTTTCTCTTTCTTTCTCCTCCTCCTCTTCTTCTTCTCCTTCCTCTTTTCGAAAAGATCTCTTTCTATTAAATAGTCGATCTCTTAAATACTCAGAATCCATGATTCTCGTTATTTCATCAAACGGGAAACCACGAATAAACTCTGCTATAGTACTGCAGCTTGTTTCTGATGAAGATAAATAAGTGTTGAATACTCGCAGAATTTCATACGCATCGTCGATACTGATATGACTATTTCTAAATGACCCAATGCCAATCGATAACTGATAGCGTAGCAAATTGAGTTTAGCTATTGTATTTGTGTCACCAACTGAGCGCATTTTGATATAAATATTCATTATAAAAACCAACCAACTCAATAACGCCGCGTAGCTAACAGGATCAACATTAAAAGTCTTAAAAGTATCAACTAGCTTTGTCCAGTACCTCTCTCCAAAAAATTGTGGAATACCACTAAAATTATGCGCTTTTTGATTCTTTTCAGTATTCTCACCTTCCAAAACTAAAAACAGCTCTAATGATTCTTGATACTCTTGTGCACAAACGACTGGGGAAAAAAATGACCCAGCATACAAATCAGTCATCATCCACCACGAGTTTGCTTCTACAAAGTGAAGATCGTTGCCTGATAACCAAAACAAGAAATCGGGCATGCACATACTTGTTTCCAAAAAGGAATGATTTTGCGGGTAAAATACCATATCCCATTTAGCCATTAACCAGTCTTCAATCTTTCGAGGAAATACACTTCTTTTTGGAAGATTAAGCTCAACGGACATTTTGTAGATGGCGTACCAAAATTTGAAACTTTCGTTATGTATCAAGTAAGGTCCATTAACTTCTGACAAATCTATTGTTGAGTCTACTTGGGTGAGCACTGAGTTATCAACAAGTTTATGAAAATCTTGTTCATTGTCCACTATTATTTCAAAAACTAAATCACAAGCGGTGGTGAAACTATTTGGTCTATTTAACAGATTGAGCGATAGCATAAACACCAGACGAAGAAAATTTAGTCTAATCAACGGCTTTGTTTCCCTAAATGCATCATGCTCTTTTATCAAAGTTCTGGATAGTAATAAAGCCCAAACCCGGGAGGACTCTACATCAAAGGTACACAATATATTATGCAATAAAGTTTGAATGCTAAATTTTGATTCCAAATCATTGTTTATAGTGAAATCAAATGTCGTGTTTGTCGAATCGCTTCTACTTGTAACGCTCTGCTTGTTTTCGTTAGCGATGCTTATCCCTAATTCTGCATTCGTGACAACTGGAAAAGCTTCAATATAAAAAGTTAAAATTTTCAAGCCCAAGGTTTGTATATCAGGTGATGTCTTGAATGACAATAACTCGCTACAAAATTCAACCGTGCTCGATGACTTTAATAGTGATGTCTGAATAATACCCATGTGAGCACCCTTTCCATAAATCAGTATACCCAGCAAAAGCAGCGCTAGTTTCTTTTTGATAGCAAAATAAGACTTGAGGAGCTTAACTACAGCCAAGATATGCAACCATGGCTTTGGTGGTTCCTGATTGCGGAAATAAATATTTTTCAACTTGAACCATGTTACTTTTGCATTTTGCGGAGAAATACCAATACTGGACAGTGCTAAGCTACGGGGATTGGACATCATGTTTTGAATGGAAAATAGGATTAGTTGCTGGATATTATATAGTAGAACTTCGCCGTGCTCCTCGTTTTCGCTATTATCTTTGCCTTTGTCTTTGTTTCCATTTCCATTCTGTATTCCAGAAACCTCGTCTAATATGTTTGAAAGTTGAAGATTATTATCTCCAAAAAGTTTTGGTAATCCATGTAAGCTAATAAAACGGTGCATGGTTGGCAAATTCAAAAAGATTAGATGCTGATCCTGTAGTTTTTCCCAATTTGTTTCATAAGAACAAACAATTAGTTTCAACCCTATATTGACCAATTTATTTACAAATTTGAAATTGACTGTAGCAAGTGATACGATCAACTTGTTGATGATTTTGAACAATGAGATGTAAAGTGGGTTCTCTTTCTTGTAGATTTGTGATGTTTCATTTAGTACCAGTAGTAAGCTGAAATATTGATCATTGTGGTATATTTGTATAGAGCACGATGAGCATTCGCATTGCAACAAGCTCTCCACTGCTATCCAAAACTCTGCTATAATACGTTCAATTGGTTCCCCATTCCCATAATTACTTGTTGTTGTTGTTCTTTTTGCCATATTTTGCAAACAACGATCAATAACATCGATAATGAAGAAAAACAACATTGACCAGTCCTTTTTATTGAGATGTTCAACCACGTACTTGACGCTCAATATGTTTCCCATGATTTTTGCAAAATTCACCGAACATGGTGCCAAGAGCTCGCCTTGGATATAAAATAGACTCTTGATCAACAAACACACGTCTAGATAAACCTTGTACCTAATATTCAACTTATCACTGATTGACCTCTCGATGAGCAAACGTAAACAGTAGCTAGCAGAGTTTAGTCGCTCGCCAACTGAATTTCTTGAAGTAGACAGCCCGTTCTTGTATATCCTTGATTCATAGTCTAGCAAGTGGAATATCGATGTTGTTAAAATTCGAAGTTGTTTCAGTGATAGCCTATACTTTGAGCTTGAAACAAACTCGAGTTGATTTAAAGCATCGTTGCGGTCCTTGACTTTTGTCGATTCTAGTAACGTGGCCAACCTGGGTATGTCCAATGTTGACATATGAGTGCTACTGAAAGACGCTGTCGATTTTGACAGGGCGCGAAATAGCATTGTTTCTTCCCTCTAGCTTCCCTCCTTCTCGCGCCGGTGGGCCGTTGTTTTTTTGTCCGCGCTGGCCCCAGCTACCACTTTTGACACTAGCGACACCGACACTATCGACACTATCGAGCGTGGCACTATCGAGCAGAGCGAGATAGTGGAGCACACTAGCTGTTACCGACTCTAGTGAGCAAAGCGAGTAGCGACACCGACACTAGTGAGCAAAGCGAGCTAGTGGAGCAGTATGTAGTATCACGACACTAGGGAGCAAAGCGAGCTAGCAGTATGTAGTGTCTCCCCAGATCTTGAAAACGGGACAACAAAAACCAACAAGGGCGTAGGCTGAAGGGAACAGTATGTAGTATCACGACACTAGGGAGCAAACCAACCTAGCAGTATATGGTATCACGACACTAGGGAGCAAACCAACCTAGCAGTATATGGTATCACGACACTAGGGAGCAAACCAACCTAGCAGTATATGGTATCACGACACTAGGGAGCAAACCAACCTAGCAGTATATTGTATCAACACTACTTTAGCGTTTAGCAGAAAGGTTCTATGGAGTATATTTTGTGTTTCAACAAGTTGATCCAACCCCTTTGTATTGATTGTCACATCCAAAAGAAGTAATTGTATCAAGACAACAAGTCTAACACATGCGTATCTGAGACAAGGCTAAGAAAACAAAGTAAGAAAGCAGATACAAATAAGAAAACAAAATTGGAAACAAAACAGCTATAAATATTAGGTAGGTATCTTTTCAAAGGGCTATTTATTGAAATAGCATCTCTTGTTTATTGATAACGAAAAGTATACAAGAGTAAGTTGCAAAAAGAAGCAAAGAAAAAAGATTTCCATGTTAAGCGTAAAGAGTAGAGTTGATAAGAGAAAAGTTGATGAAAAAGATGAGTTTGAGTTGCTCAAGGTTGGTTACGATGAATTTATAAATGATATAGAGGAGGAGTTGGTATTATGTGATTGTGCTTGTTGCTCATTTTGGCTTGAAAACGAAAAGAAACGAGTTGTTTATATGGTACTTGGTATTTTGCTACCGTTTATTTGGATTTTTTTCCTTATTAAATCAATCTACCATTTAAGTATTAGTAAAAAACCCAAACCACAATCATTTACATTTAAAAACGAGACAAACTTATTAATGGGAACTAATACTCAAGCTATGTTTATCGAGGCTGGTTGGAAAACTCATAATTGCATTAGGACAAAGATGTTTTCGTGGTTGGGCCATATGGCTCTAGCAATAGTGATTTATGTATTGGTGATCATAATGATTGTAATTTTCTGTCATTTAAGGTCTTTTAAAGGTGGCGGTCTCTTTGTCTTTGCATTGTAATAATATATCTATTATATGTCTAGAGCCATCTATCTATAACCATCTATCTATAACCATTGATGTCTATAACCATCTACATTATGTCTACAACCATTGATTTCTATAACCATCTACATTATGTCTACAACCATCTATTATATGTCTCTATCTCGCTCTGCTCGATAGTTTATCAACTTCACTCTCTATATCTCTATATCTCTATAGACTATCGAGGTGTGTCTTAGTGTTGTAACAAGCTATTGAGTATTGCTCCACTATCTCGCTCCGCTCGATAGTATAGGTGTAGTCAGTGTGCTCCACTATCTCGCTCTGCTCGATAGTGTCTATGGTTGAAGAGTCAAAAATATAATTGACTCCTTTTTATCAACAGAGTCAAAAAAAAATGAAAAATTCCAATCAAAGCTATATAACATTGATTTCTCAATTCTATTCCCTATCCTTCTTGATTCTATTTCTTTCCTTTCTTGGTTCAAAATCATGCTTAAATCGGCCCAGGTTGTCCAAAAAAGACTTGCGTCAAGTACGGGTCTTTTAAAGACCCCCTTGTACCCAGCTCATATCGAATTAGGAGGTAAAATGGTAGATTATGCTGGATTCGAGATGCCTGTACTCTACAAAGGTCAGTCCCATATCGAGTCGCACAATTGGGTAAGGTCTCGAGTGGGGTTGTTTGATGTTAGTCATATGTTACAGCACAATATATCTGGACGTGACGCCAAAAGTTTTATCCAAAAAATTACCCCCATCGACTTGGATCAATTGCCAAAGAACAGTTCCAGTTTATCGGTGTTGTTGAACAAGGATGGTGGTGTAATTGACGATTGCATAATCACAAAACACGAAGAAGACCAATATTATATGGTAACCAATGCCGGATGCAGAAGCAAGGATATCCAATTTCTCAAACAAGAGTTGCAGAACAATTTCAATTTAAGCTCGGTTAACCACAACACTTTTGAAGGTACATTACTAGCCATTCAAGGACCCAAAGCGCAAGAGTTGTTACAAAAATTCACCAATGAAGATTTAAGCAAGATTTATTTTGGCCAAACCAGATTTTTGAAATTGTCACCAATCTCGGCAACAGTTCATTTGGCTAGATCTGGATATACTGGAGAAGACGGATTTGAATTATCAATACCATCTATAAGCGAAACTGAAAAAACCGAGGCCTTGAATTTTTTCAATACATTGTTAAAAGAATTTCCAGAAATTGCCAAACCTATAGGGTTAGCTGCGAGAGATTCGTTGAGGTTGGAGGCTGGGATGTGTTTGTACGGCCAAGAACTTAGAGAAGATCTTACACCCGTTGAAGCTTCACTATCATGGCTTATTCCAAAAACACGTCGTGAATTATCATCCAGTTGTAGCTTTAATGGAGCAGAAAAAATCTTGAGCCAGATAAAGAACAAGTCAAATACTCATAGAAGAATTGGATTGAAAAGCGCCAATGGCCCATCACCAAGAACAGGGAATAAGGTATTTGCTGAAGACGGTAAAACAGAAATCGGGTACGTGACTTCAGGCTCGCCATCGCCCACAAAGGGAGGAAATATAGCACAAGCATATATTGACAAAGGGGCTAAAATTGGTAGTAACACAAAGATTAAAATTAGAGATAAATTAAGAGACGCTGTAATTACCAAATTGCCTTTTGTAGAAAGCAACCTTTATAAGCCATAATATAATGCAAGTGTATAATATAATACAAGTGTGTAATAACTCCAATTATAACTCCAATCCTTATACTATTTATATCTTCTCCCTTCCCCCTCCACTGCTCATCTCTCAGCATCCAAATCCGTGTGTCTCCTTCGCCTATATCTCTTTTCTTTTTTTTTCTTTCTTTTTTTTTTTTCTCGCTCCCACCCCCTTCCCTTTCTCCCCTTCCCCTTCCCCTTCCCCTTCCCCTTCCCCTTCTCGGTCGACGCGTAAATATTCTTCCGCAAATCTTTTGTTTTTTCCATTCCAGTTCGCAATATGACACAAACAAAGAGTTCAAAATAAACACCACGAAAAAAAAAAAAGAGAATAAAGAGAAGAGAGAAAAGTTTAGGTGCAAAATAAAATAAGAAAATGGGAGTTTTGATTTTAAACGAGGTATAAAAGCATTGACAAACCTGGTGTTGAAAAAAACCTTGGTCGTTTTCCTATTTGAAGCTGTAAAATTGATTTTTGTATAGGCTAGTTCTGTGAGAAGTGGTTTTTGACTGTTGAAGAAAAAAAATGTCACACTCTGGTACACCGTCACCTAATTCTAGTCGTTCAATTCTTTCGTCAAAACCGTTGAATCTCCCGTATGGAGGGACTAATTCTTCACCTCTTGGTAAGAATTTACTCAAGACTCAATTTATAAACCGGTCTCCTACCAAATCAATTGTCAAGTCTGCTAGCTCCTCACCAAAAAAGTCAAAATCCTCAACAACGAGTCTCCTCGGGTTTTCCATTTGGGAGGATAAAAAGGCAGTTTCTTCTACAGTCGAGATGACAGAAAGACCAAAGTCCAATAAATTGAACCACAATGATCAGGAAAATATACTTCAACCGAAAAAAATCAAAAATTTGAGGAGTTTCAAACGCAAACCTTTGGGCGATTTAAGCATTAACGAATACAAGGGATTTGTTACTTGTGGAGATGATACCACAATGCTGTTGACAGAATTGTACCAGCCAATGAATTTCGATAATGAGTCAAGGTCATTGCATAGGTTTGATGGTTTGCCCGGGTTTGTAACGCCTAGCAGAAGAAATAATAGGAACAAGTATTTGAGCAAGTCCTTGAGTTGGGGAGGAGAAAAGGGGGGACTAGCGAGACAAGTCAATGGTGGGGTTGGTGTTGGTGCCAATGGCGTTTACATGATTCAAAAACATTCAAGATCGCTGTCCTTGGGTAGAAATGAGGCCAAGAGAAGCTTGATTAAAAAAAACAACTTTTCAATATTAGCTACAACCTCTTGATATTGGCTACAACTTACAGCTTCTTAATACTAGCTACAACTAGCTACAGCTTCTTAATATCAGCTACAACCTCGTGTTAAGGGCGATTCCACTAACTAATAGCTATTGTTCAATTCTAAATGTATATACTATGTATATATGTATCTAAATATCTATTGATAATATCCATTTTAAAAATATCAACAAAAAAGTAGATGTCTATAAGCTAAATCTATGTGTAAATGCTGCTGTTGCTGCTGCTGTTGCTGTTGCTGCTGTTGCTGTTGCTGTTGCTGCTGTTGCTGTTGCTGTTGCTGCTGCTGCTGCTGTTGCTCCATGTCTTCCCCATAATCTAGTTTTGGTTAAATGCCTTATCGAATTCGGTAAAGACAAATCTATACCTAACATCACCATCATCGCATCTGTTCAAAGCCTTGGAGCAGTTTTCCTCGCTTATTGGTACTTCTTCAATCATTGGCTTAATATCGTGTTCAACTGCCAATTGCAACATCTTGTTTACTTCAACCTTGGATCCCAATAAAGAGGAACCGATATTTGCACCTTGGCTCAAAAAGGTAAATGGAGTCACACTGAGTTTTTCATCCAGTGGAGGTAAACCAACAGAAACAAAATTCTTGTTAACTTTCAAAACCGACAAGTATTGCTCCAAATCCAATCCTTCAATGTTACTTGCACAATTCAAAATAAAGTCAAAGTAATCGTCATAGTTTTCATGCCATTTTTTGTCTTCACCAGTAGCAATGAATTCATGAGCTCCCAATTTTAAAGCTTGTTCCTTTTTAGCTGATGATCTTGAGAATGCAACTACATTTGCGCCCAAGGCATTAGCAAATTGTAGTGCCAAATGTCCCAATCCACCAATACCAATAACACCAACATTTTTGCCTTTGGCATCCAAGCCCAAGTTACGAACCAAGGGGGAAAATGTGGTAAGACCTGCACAAAACAATGGAGCGGCATGTACAGATTTCAACTCTTTGGGGATTGCAAACACAAATTGCTCGTCGGCAATTGAGTGAGAGGAATATCCACCTTGAGTGATATAGTTGTCAGACCTGACATCTGGGGTGTTGTATGTTCCAGCTGCCTTTTTGCAATATTGTTCATTGTCATTCTTGCATCTGTTACATTCACGACAAGAAGATGAGTTTGCACCAATTCCAGCACGATCACCAACTTTAAATTCGGTGACCTTGTCGCCAACAGCAATAACTTCACCTACAATTTCATGTCCAACAACCAAGTCGTCTCTTTGTAAAGGTGACCAGTTTGCTTTAACGGTATGGATATCCGAGTGACACAAACCACATGCTTCGTTTTTCAATACAACGTCGTATGGATTGATCTTTTTTCGATCATAAGAAACCAATTTTGGTTTATTCCAGTTTTCCTTCTTGTCAACGGCAAAACCTTGGAATTTATCTGGTACCTTGTTTTCTTGACTCATTGTTAAAATGCACTATATAGGTTTTCAGCAAAAAATGAAAATTAGAGAAGGAGCAAAAGTTTTGGAAAAAATAACCTGTTCTTGGCTAACCTTTTTATACAGCTCCAAATCTTCCTTTCTACTCTTTCTTAAAACACGATTACATCACCTCTTCTACGGGATCTGCGAAAAGAAAATAATAATTGGTAGGAAAAAGAGCAAACAAAAGGCTTAGTAATATCACCGAGTCTTATTGTATTGTGAAACAGCAATCAGGTAGAGCTCGCAGCAACAACGGCTTTCATTATGTAATCGAAGAGACTCGGTAATCTTGTCCTAGAAAAGCAAAGGCCAAAAAAGAAAAGGGGAAAAAATTGCTTTACATTGACAAGTTTGGGTTTCGAGATTCCGCCCATTATGGAAAAGGTTTCTATTGAAGCTTGTTGAGTGAAAAATTATTTTTCAATGCCCCACACATTAAAAAAAATTGCTCATCGCAAAAAAGCTCATCGCAGAAACAGAAACTATCGAGCAGAGCGAGATAGTGTATAGTGAGATACAAAGTGTTACACCACTACGAGCAACACTGACTAATGACACTGTCGAGCAGAAACACTATCGAGCAGAGCGAGATAGTGTGGCAACAAGCTACAAAGTGTTGCTCTATAGTGTGGTAACAAGCTACAAAGTGTTGCTCTATAGTGTTGTAACAAACTACAAAGTGTTGCTCGATAGTGTAGTAACAAACTACTATATGTTGCTCCACTATCTCGCTCTGCTCGACAGTGTCGTAACAAGCTACTATATGTTGCTCCACTATCTCGCTCTGCTCGATAGTGTCAAGCGCATGTATAACAAGCTCATTCTCCTAAATTGTGCCTAATTCCCTGTTCCCAGGTACCTAATTAAAAATACAATAAAAAACGGAAATGGTAATTTTTTTTTGACACTATCGAGCGACCCTATCGAGCGAAGCGAGATGGTGGAGCACCACTGACTAGTGATACTAGTAACATTATTGACCGACACTATCGAGCGAAGCGAGATAGTGGAGCATTCTAGCTGTCACCGACACTATCGAGCAGAGCGAGATAGTGGAGCACATTGATTAGAGAAGGATGCAATCAATCCCGTGTGTAGCATAAAAGCATACACTGTGTAGCATCTAAAGCATGTCGGTGGCAGCTAGTGCGCTCCATTATCTCTCTTTGCTCACTAGTGTCGTTCAGTGGGCTCCACTATCTCGCTTCGCTCCATAGTGCACTGGTTTTTTTTTTTGTGTGACACAACAAGGGTTGCAAAAAACTTACAGCCAACCATTTTCCTCAATTCAGTCTACGTTGATCATTAGTGAACCTGTAGAACACTCTGAAAATAGGAAATTGTAAGTGACACTAAACTAAAGCTTCTTTGGTGGACGTCACACGGTGAAGCATCTAAAGCATACACACAGACACTATCGACACTATCGAGCAGAGCGAGCAGAGCTAGATAGTAAAGCAACACCGCCTGGCAGCATTGCTTAGTAGCACTGACTGCCTCCAACACTGTTTCATCCTCCCGTATGTTTAAGAATACATTTTTGTTTTAGATACTAGAAGATAGAAGATAAAGGTAAATAGGTTTGTTTTGGTAATTTTTGGTTATATCTCGCTCTGCTCGACAGTAGAGCACACTGACTAGCTGCCACCAATACTTTGTAGCTTACAAAGCGCTGCTCTCTAGTGTCGCCATTCAAAAATAAAACCCTACAAAGTGTTGCAACACTATCTCGCTTTACTCGATAGTGTAGTAGAGCTAACAAAAATGAATAAAAATAAATGAGCATACACCCCTACCCACTATAATGCATATATATTCTATATAACGTCCATAGTGTGGTGCCACTCACTTTTTACCCTTCTTTTTCTTTCTTTTAGTAGTGTTACTATTGCTACTGTTCAGTGATGTGTTTTGTGCATGAGGTGTTGCAACAGCAGCAACAGCAGCAGCAGCAGGTGGTGTAGACTCCATTGCACCTTGATGGCCAGTCAATTTCTTCCTATCCCTTTTTGATGGCTTATAGTAACTTCTCATCTTCATTGGTAACCACCTTTCATCGTCCAAATTGAAATCACCTGCTGGTTTAATTATCCTGTTTTTACCAAATTTTGGTTTTTGTTTCTTCTTTATTACTTTTGATCTTGTTTTCACTATGGGCTTTGTTGGCTTCTTTTTATTTGGAATCAATTTGTCCAAGTTTATTGATAATAACTCCTCAACTGGCTTCCTAGACACAAGCTCTTCAACTGAAAGTAGATCTTTACTGGTGTTGGACAAGACCGAATTGATCAAGTTATCATCGGGGTTAACTTTATGCAAGAATTGAAACAATTCACGGGAATTATCAGAACTGAAGCCATAGTTACTCATCGCAATGATTTTGGCGCTATTATAATAATCAGCGTTTTCGAATGAGTCTTGGGGACTTTGTAGGAATTTTTCTACTAGTAATTTGAGCAAATTTTTCAACTTGTTGATATTCTGTGTTTTTTCGTAAACGTTGATTAATGTGCCCACTATCCCCGGTTTAATCAACGCTCTCTTGTTCATTGATTCCTCGACTAACTTCTCTAAAAACGGTAAACTTTGATCGAAATTTTCCAATTTAGAGTTGACAAATACTAGTAACAACACCGCTGCTCTTTTCAAGTCCTCCTCTTTTTCTACTTGTTTAATATATCGTACAAGTTTCTTGCCAATTATTTTGTAAAGTGCCGGATCCTGTAGATTTTTATATGAAATGTCATTTCGAGTTAAAACAGTATATGCTTGATTAATCAACTGACCGTCATTTTGTTGCTGTTGAAGTAGAGATGCATTCAATTGAGAAGAGCTCAAAGTTCCACTTGCAAATCTTAACAACATACTATTTTTGAGAGCAGTTCCATACTGCAATGTCGTAATCTTCTGCTTCAACTGATGAATAGCCTCTTGAAGATTCAACCGTCTTTCAACCAAATTAGGATTCTCCAATTTATCCATAGCAAATAGATTACTCTTTACAATCATCTTGAGTAATGCATCACCAATTTTTTCAACATCTATCGTGTCTAAAATCGCCTTTGCTTTCAAGTCTTCACCTTTCGACTGATGGATATATGCCATTGTCAAATTAATAGGAAGAATCTCATTATTTAAATCTTCTTCAGCGATATTGTTTTCAGTACATACTTTGAATGCCTTTTCAAGCAAGTCCAAGCTCTTGAATACATCACCCTTGGCCAATTCAATCAATGCCTCGTTGAATAACAAATCGTAATTAGTTTCATCACCTGGAAATTTGCTTGGGCCAGACTGAATGGTGGTGGTACCACCAGTCTGAAAAATTAATTGCGACACAATTGCTTTTTGATTAATGATCAAATCGGTTTTTTCCTCGAGATCATTTGTCACTTGGAGTAGTTTTTCATTCAACTCTAATGCCTTGGAGTAGTCGCCCATTTTGTAATAAGTTTGAACCAAAACATTAGATAATCCAGCTTGAACCATCAGAGAAAAGACAAGCGGTGTCTGGGATGTCGAGGAGGTCGAGGAGGTCAAATATGAAGAAGAGGAATCAAGCTTGGCCTTATACGAATCGTATAATTTGAAAACTTGTTCATTCTTACCAATTTTGTAGAAAATGTATGAAATCTCTAAAATCAAATGCTCAACCAAGTCCTGAGGGATCTTAGCAATAAGTTGCTCAGCCTTGTAATATTTATCCAAGTTCGCTAACGATACAAGACAATTCCTAAATGAGTCAACATCATTAAAGTTTTTCACTTTTGACAAATACTCATAAGAAACCTTGAAAATGTGTTCAAACTCAGTTGCATTAGAACTTGCCCCAACGTTTAATTTGGCAAACGCATCTGTAACCGAATTGCTCATCTGCAAATCCTGCTAAATACTAGCTACCGATACTGGCTCTTCCTGCTAAATACTAGCCACGGTTTTACCAGTCCCAACCTTAATCAATCGTTAATTGTCAATTTCTTTCATTTTTTTTTCACCTTGGCCAAATTCAAAGTCGTGCAAAATTTTTTCTTCAACACTAAGGAGTGAAAAATTATCATTGAGGTAAACGGCTTTATCAAAAGTAAGTAGTTTTAGGGGAACGCAGAGGTGTTAAATGTTGAGGTACCAGGCTAGAGCTTATATTTCTTCAATAAGATTATTGTCGCAGACTTCGTTTGTGAAATTTAGGGCAAATGCACAAGTTTTGGGCAAGTTTAAGCTAGAACAAGATGGTCATGGTCATGGTCATGGTCTTCAAAATGGTAGTCGGAACGGTGTTCAAGACGATATTGAGTCACCAACAAGTATGGCCAAAGATTCGAGTTTGCCATTGGTTGAACAGAAATACAAGGTGAAGCCGCGTCAGCCAAAGAAGAAGGCCCCCTTTTTATCAGAAATGGAAGATGATCCAAACTCCAAATTATCGTCTTGGCAAGAAAAGATTGGACAATGGGTTATTTCTACGTTTTCCGTGGATATGGATAAGTCAAGAAGTGGGCCTGTTGCTGGTGGTATATACTTTGCAGAATGCAAGAGACAAGCTTTGGTATATCCCAATGAACCAATGAGCGATACAGCAAAGTTTTACTATCAAACTTTGGCGTTACCGATTTCGTTTTCGCAACAAGTACAGATTATAATATTGCATTATTGGATTTTGTCGGTGCGAATGAGAGCACTACCTAGCAAGTATGCCAAAGAATATCAAAAGAAACTAGTTGATAGAATATTCAGTGACTTGGAAACTCGAATGAATACTGAATTGGGAATAAAATCGGGAAGAATAATTGAAGGGTATTTGAAAGATTTCCATACTCAATTCTTAGGTTCGGTTTTGAGTTACGATGAAGGGTTAATGACTGATGACATAACTCTTGCAGCTGCATTATGGAGAAACGTGTTTAATGCCAAAGAAGACGCAGATATAAGGCACGTTGAAGCGTTATTGGTGTATGTTAGATCCCAACTATACGTATTGAGTAAAATGACTGATCGTGCTTTTGGATTCGGCAAGTTTAAGTTTGTGCCTCCAGATCAAATAGTGACGCCAATTACAAAACATCAAGAAGCAATGATTAAACAGAAAACAAAAGAGGAGTTTTCTGAAATGAATTTACCTTCTCAGAGATCAGTATTGTCAATGGATGAATAAGGGTATGGTGACTCTATTCAAAAAAAAGGAGAGCAAAAAGCAAACAAACCTTGTATATAACTTTTGATATTTATTAGTAAAAGGGAGTGCTATGTGGCTTCCACGGGTATAGTATACTCAATTTGAACAACTATCGAGCGACACTATCGAGCGGAGCGAGATAGTGGAGCAGCACTGACTAGTTGCCACCCACACTCGGTAGCTTGTTACAACACTATCTTGCTCTGCTCGATAGTGTCGCTCGATAGTGGAGCAACATTCGGTAGCTTGTTACAACACTATCTCGCTCTGCTCGATGGTGTCACTCGATAGTGTCGCTCGATAGTATCGAGCAGTTAGTTTTATCATCCATCTCACTTACGTGCCACCCAGCACCGTTATCAAAACGGTATATGTTTAGTTTCCTATTACAAGACGATTGCATAATGATCAAGAGAAAGTAACATTAATAAATAACACTTTGTCGATAACCGAGGAACAAGTTTATTGTACCAATATTGATTAGAGTAAACTCACTCTAAAAAAAAAAAAAGTAGGAGCATGCATGTATTATTGCAAAGGGATCCCCATCCTCTACATTGGAAAACTCTTTTCTCATAATTTACTTTTATCCTTGGTCCAATTATGTCCATGGATTCCCCTAACCATTATATTCATTACAACGTAATCTTTTCCTTCAACGGCACCTTCAAATTTGTTACCCAAGTATATATCTTCCACAAGATGAAAACCGAATTTTTCATAAATGGGTAAATTTTTAATCGAAGAACTTTCCAAATAAGTCAAATTTCCTTGGTTCTTATCTATGTAGTTTTCAAACATAAAATCAAACAACTTTCTCAAATTGCCTTTCCCCCTGGCATCAGGAGTAGACCCTACATAAACCAATGTGTAAACACCTTTACCTTTGAATCTCAAATCACCATTAATAATCCGTTCACAAGAATCGTGCAATAACGGCAACATACCATAAAATACCTTCTTTCTTCCCTCGGGCCCAAACATATTCCAAACTTTACCATAGCCGGCCTCCATTAAATTGTTAAAGGAGTTCAAGCCTTGCTCTTCACTCTCGGGATGCGACCAAATACTAATAGTCTCAAACCCGGAAGGTGTTTCCCCCTGACCAAAAACAAGCCCCTTGGCAATATGTTGCTGTATATATGCTTCGTATAAATACAACTCGCAAAGTTTTCGCTCGCGCCAATCTTGAATATGAACCGTTAGGAAATTAGATAACGCATCTCTCTCAAATGCTTGTAACAAAGTCTCTGCCGCTTTGGAAACATCCTTGGCAGTTAACCGACGAACCTCTGGCTTATACCACGTACTTTGAAACAGCGGTGGTGGTACTCCTGCCATTGCGAAACCTCTTTATCTACTCTACTCTTACTTTCTTCACTAGTATAATCTCTATCAACCAATTGATAAAATTACCTTGTCTTTATCAGCTGATTCGAGAACAAGAAAGCCGCATAGAAGTGCAAGCCGCATTTGCGTCTCTTTTAGGAAGTTCAAATCTACAAATACGATGGAATTGCAAGTTGGTGTATTTTGCTTTGCGCTTGTGTCAAGTTAGGTTTCACTAGGCTCTTGTCTTTTGACATCAGAAAGGATGATATGTTCATTACTACCGCGTCCTCGTAATGCGGCATACGTTTCTCCCGAAACAATCCTCGTTGCGATCGATAACTCTGCTTCTACTGCCATGTCTATGTCTACTCTGGCACAAGATAAAATCCTTACAGTTTCATCAAGGACAGAAACAGAGCATGGTACATACGACTCGACGATTCCATTAAAGCAAAAGTTTCCTAATTTGATCCATCACTTTCCTCGGCCTGCGCCTAATGAAGAGGTTATCGCAAGTACAAAGCTAGTTTTCGAAAAACTCCTAAATGCTAAACTTGGTGTTGTTGAACAAGGTCAAAAAAATAAGGACTCAAGGTTACCTTTGCACGAGGATCCAATGTTACCTCCAAGACAAAAGCTTGAAAAGAATCGACCCGAAAGAAGAGAAACCTTGCCGGAACCAATCCTTAAGCCATTATCGCAAAATCTGAACAAACTAACCAAAGAAGAAAAAGAAAAGTGGAATATTCCATCAGCAATATCCAACTGGAAGAATAATCTTGGTTTTACAATTGGACTAGAAAAACGTATGATGGGGAAAAAAAGAGGTTATGACGAAGATGAGATTAATTTGGAGAAATTCGGTGCATTGAGCCAAGCATTAAATCAAGCAGAGGTTAAGGCAAGAGAAGATATCCAAAAGAGAAATGAAATAAGATTTGAGCGGGAAAGGTTGGAACAAAGAGAAAGAGAGAAGAGAATAAATGAAATCGCTTCAAGGAGTAAACGAAGACGTTACTAAAAGATATAATATATACATTAAAAAAGCGAGTCGTACAACATTAATAAGGCATAATTTACAGATTGTCATTGTCATTGTCATTGTCATTGTCATTGTCTTTTCTATATTCTCCTTTCTCTCTTATTTTCTTTTGCTTCTCTTCAATTTGTCTCCTCCTTCGTATAAAGACTTGTTGAACAAGTCTAAAGCACGAGAGTTGACCCATTCAATAACTCTATTAATTTGATTTTCTTTCTTTTGTTCTTTCAATTTAACGTCAAGTTCTCGCAACATTGTATTTATATCATCCACATTTCCATATTTCACAACACTACCTACGGTATTCATCACTTTGTTTCTCTTTCTGGTTCGTGAGACTCGTCTGATTAAACTAACATCACTTGAATCGTCACCTTCGCGATCTGGAGTATCCGCTTTCCTATTCTTTTCTTCTTTAATTCCTCGTTCAATTTCTTTTAACCTTGTTTTCAATTTGGATATATCATCAAGAATAACTTGTTTTTCTGGTGACGCGATACTTATAAACAAAGCTCGTTTTCTTGCTTCCATACTCGATATCATTGCTTCTTTAACTGTAGTTATTTCTTTACGTAGAGCAGATTCTCGTTTGCCCCATGGATTTAACCAAGATAATAGTTTGGCAACATCTTCGGGATCATCATAAAACCTCCATGAATCTCCATCCAATATGGGGTCTCTATACTCTTCAATAAATTTGCGTTGTATTGGGGATATTTTTGATAACGGCACTAACAATGAACCTTCATGATCCACTATCGGCTCATCATCATTATCATCATCAATTTTGTGTATATTATTTTCAGTGAATTTTAACCCAATGGTTTCAGCTGCTTTTCTGAAAGTAGATGAAAGTGTGGAAAAATCCATTTGTTTAGTTTTGGTTTTCCCCGTGGCATCCTTATCTTTCTCCTTCTCCTTCTCTTTTTCTTTCTCTTTTTCTTTCTCTTTGTATTCTTCTTTTTCTTTGTTCTTTTCTTCCTCTTCTTCCTCTTCTTCCCCCTTTTTCTCTGCCTCCTCCTCTCCTTCTCCCTTCTCCTCTTCCAGGGTCTTTACATTCACATCGGTCATTGATTCTACAAGTTTTCTGATTTGTTCAACTTCACATTTGAAATTAGCAATTATATCGCTGTTACTTGGACCTTGTACCCATAATCTACCCATAAGGTATGTTTCATCGCGTATATCATCATCTGCTGCAGCATCGCTACTATCCTGCGACTCAATCTCTTCTTCCTTTTTATCGTTATCGTTATCATCTTCATCTTCGTCACCATTAGAACCGATAGCATGTAATGTTGGTAATCCATTATTCTCGAACCACCAATACCTATTATATAAACGATCTTTGCCTAATAGTTTTACTCTTTGACAATCCAATTCATTCAATTTTTGTTCAATCAATTTTTTATTCTCCTTGATTTCATTAATCTTGAGTAATGCTTGCTTTCGCAGATTACATTTTTCTAGAAATTCAGGATGCGTTTGAGCATATTCTGATTCTCTTTCAGACATTTCAACTGATTGAAAATTCAACTGATTTTTGCTTGACGGTGGTAGTGGTAGTGATGAATGAGATGATGGTGGTGGCGGCGGCGGCAGAGGCGGCGTCGGTGGTTGTGTTCCATTTGTTTCTGTTTCTTCTAAAGATACTTTGGTTTTGATTTCTTCAGATTCTGGTGCTACTGGTGATGGTAGTGGTGGTAACTCTTTTGAGATGAAATCTTGAGCATCCTTGACTATTTCCATATTTGTTTTGTACTCTTTTATATTTTCCAATCTAGTTCTCCGAAGTGAAGTTTGATTCTCAAGACTCTCTTCTATGTAGTTTCTCACTAGAGGGCTTGATATAAGCAAATCCGTCAATATACACAATGCATGTAGTTTCAAATCGATATCCAAATTTTCATAGAAATTGTTTTGTATAGCTGCAGGAGTCACGGATGAACCTTTGGGAGCTAGTACTTTAAAAATCTCTTGAATAATTGTTTTATATTTTGGTAAACTTTCCACTAATGATAGTACACCAATTAGGATACATTGCCAGTTTCCATCTTTAAAATTTCTCCTTCTCAATCGATCATGCCATGAAATACCTTTATAATTGAGTGCCGCATACGCAGAGTGGGATATATCCTCTTGATTAGAATTTGGCTTTCCATTTTCTTCAACCTCTTCAACCTCGTCAGAATCTTCATCATCTTCCACTTCGTCAACCTCGTCAATTCCTTCCACCTCATCAACCTCTTTGATTTTATTTTTGCCATTTTCTTTCACCCCATTTTTGTTGGTAAGATTCTTTTGTTTGTGTTTTTTACACTCGTTGGTTTCCTCCTCCTTCTCGTCGTCTTCCTCTTTTTCCTCCTCCTCTTTTAGTCCTTCTCCTTCTCCTTCTCCTTCTCCTTCTCCTTCTCCCTCCTCTCCTTCTCCTTCTCCTTCTCCTTCTCCTTCCTCTCCTTCCTCTCCTTCCTCTCCTTCCTCTCCTTCCTCTCCTTCCTCTTTCTCTTTCTCTTCCACCTCTATCCTAACGGGTACCTTTATATTCAATCCGTATATTTCATCATTCGATTCCGCCTCCCTTAACTCCTTTTGCGACGGTATTTCATTTGAAACTATTTTACATAATAGAGCACAATAAATCTCATCAACCATATGAGAGCCATAATGCAGCAAATCCAAATTCAAAGCAGTAATAAAATCATCAAATGTAAATGTATCGATATTCAATACATTATGATATACATTCATGAAAACCCAGACTTGAAGTGCTTCCAGTACTGCCATTACAGGAACCAATACTGTCTTTGTTTTTCCTTCTTCGCTATCATCATTAGCGTCTTCTTCCACCTCTTCCACCTCTTCTTCTTCTTCTTCCACTTTTTGTTTCTTTTTTCCTTCTTCTTCTTCTTCTTCTTCTTCTTCTTCTTCTTCATTTTCTATCTTGTCTTCTACTATTTCTTTTGAAACTAACAATTTTTTAGCTGTTGGTTTTAGATTCTGTATATCAAACTTTATAAATAAATCCTCAGCTATGCTTTTCTTTGTTGGCTGAAACAGCGACCACACAATTGACAGTGATTTACTTTTTTGTTCTTCTTCTTCTTCAATTTCTCGTTGTAGCGACTCTGGAATATAATGAGTTGGAAATTTCTTACGAAATGGTATGATTGGATTAGTATCATGCAGAGGAGATGATGCAGATGCAGAGGTGGCAGTAGTAGTAGCAGTAGTAGTAGTAGCAGCAGTAGCAGCAGTAGCATTATTGTTAGCAGCACCACTAGCAGTTTCTTCTCCTCCTCTTTTCAGTTCCTCTTTAACAATCCTTCTCTTTTTAGCCTCACTACTAGATTTGGTTTTTGCATCAACTTGAGATTCAATTTTCCTCTTTTTTTGTTGGATAAAAGTTTGTTCTCCCGTTGGAGTGGATTCCATGTATTGTCGGAGATCTTCCGGATATACTGTTGGTATTCCATATTGTTTAGCATAAACTGTCTTTACTACCCATGGCGCTCCTACTTTATGAGACCTAGACATTGTGAGTTTGATGAATGTTTTGATTAGCCATTTTGTAAACTGGTTTCGATCTCTAGATATCGCGTCGCCGGTAACTATAGCTTGATGTTTATCGCTTGATCTCACCACCAAATACTTTGTTGGTTGATCATGACCATATTGCACTTTTTCTCGAATAATTCCCTTCAGTTTACCTGAAGAAGAAGAAGAAGAAGAAGAAGAAGAAGAAGAAGAAGAAGAAGAAGTTGTTGTTGTTGTTGTTGTTGATGATGATGATGAAGAATCTTTGCCGTCTAGTCCTTTTAGAAAAACCGTTTCTCCGGGAAAGTAGTCATTTTTAAATGTTTGATAAACATTATCTACTAGTTGATCTGATCTTGAAACTCGATTGAATTGTAGATATCGAAGAATATGTTCACGTAGGTTTTCTGGGAAATTCTTATCGACTTCTTTTCTTTCGTTTTCTTCGCTTTCTAGAGCCTGGAAATAAGTCAAGCACGAATTACCGGTGATTTCACAGACAAATTTCCTTTTGTTGTAAAAATCAAGCCGGGCAAGGTACTCGGCATAGGTTAAAAACCACTCTTTTGTTTTTGGGATAACCCAGACCTCGGTATTTGGGTCTTTTGGGATTTCGGGCGGCGGCACAAACGGTACCTGTTTTCTCTTGTACAACACCATCTCACCCACCAGCTTAGATATACCCCGATACTTGAGTTAACAATAAAAAAAGATGGTTGTAAAAAAAATCAAAAGATTAAAAAAAAAACAAAAAAAAAAAACAAAAAAAAAAATTTTGTTGCAAAAAAAAAAAAATAGCAAAGGGAAGAAAAGAAGGGGAAAGACGTGGGTGATTTAAATATGCCTAATTGGTGAGTAAGAGTATATTATGATTCTTGAAAATGTATCCGTACCAATTTATAGACACCAAAAATGGGTGTACATCTAATTGAGGTATATCTCCACCAGCTTGTATCCCTGATTGAATTAATGAGATTATTGAGTGTTTAAATAGAAGAAAAAAGTATATCAACACTTTATATTAAGAGAGGAGAAAAAGAAAAGGAAATCAATATTGGTAACCACAAGAGAAAAGAAAAAGTGTTGTAAAAAGAAAAAGTGTTGTAAAAGAAAGTGTTGTAAAAAAGTGTTGTAAAAAGTGTTGTAAAAAAGTGTTGTAAAAAGTGTTGTAAAATATGCTGTAAAAAGTGTTGTATAATGTGGTGTAAAAAGTGTTGTATAATGTGCTGTAAAAAGTGTAAAGAGTCTAAAGAGTCTAAAGAGTCTAAAGAGTCTAAAGAGTCTAGAGTGTAGAGTGTTGTAGGTTTTTTTATTGACTCAGGTGAGTATTGTAAAGGTTGAGTTTTTGCATTGTATATGAGAAGGTCCGTTTCTGGAAACAGCGGGCCAATCGCGCTTGGAAAAAAATAATATACTATAAGAGATGCAGTTGAAGAAAAAAGATTTTCTCTTCCCCACCTGTAGAGAATAGGTGTAGTCGAAAAGGGGTGAAAGGGGGTGTTGCAAATAAAGAATTGTTGACACTATCGAGCAAAGCGAGATAGTGGAGTAGCACTGACTATACAGTTGACACTCTCGAGCGAAGCGAGATAGTGGAGTAGCACTGACTATACAGTTGACGCTATCTCGCTTCGCTCGAGAGTGGGCTAGCACTGACTATACAGTTGACGCTATCTCGCTTCGCTCGAGAGTGGGCTAGCACTGACTATACAATTAACACTATCTCGCTTCGCTCTATAGTGGAGTAGCACTGACTATACAGTTATCACTATCTCGCTCTGCTCGATAGTGTAGACCAAAAAAGTAAAAGCTTAAAATAAAGAGAGCTTTTCCAGTAACTGGATAAAGACTGATATCCAGAATTGCATTCAGTGCATCTAGTAACTTCCCTAGTAGTTGCAGCGATTGCATTGAGTAATACCTCTTTCCCCTCACTATCTCGCTTTGCTCGGTAGTATTAACTGTATAGTCAGTGCTACTCCACTATCTCGCTTTGCTCGGTAGTGTTAACTGTATAGTCAGTGCTACTCCACTATCTCGCTTTGCTCGATAGTGTCAACTGTATAGTCAGTGCTACTCCACTATCTCGCTTTGCTCGATAGTGTCAACTGTATAGTCAGTGCTACTCCACTATCTCGCTTTGCTCGATAGTGTCAACTGTATAGTCAGTGCTACTCCACTATCTCGCTTTGCTCGATAGTGAAACAAACCATAAAATAAAATGCATAAAAATCAGACTATATATCAATATACATAAGGTACAAGTCTAAATAGTATCTACATATTAATTAATCCCTTTACATGCACCCTTTTTTACATATATTCTTCCTTTATTTCAACCCCACTCTGGTCTCTATATAAAAAGTAAACTTTACCTTTTATCTCCAACTCCATAACAAACATTGTAAACAAAAGGAAGAAAGCTTAAAAAAACTTTTCTGACTCCTTGACTCCTTGACCTCTTAGCTACTTGACTCCCTGTTTCCCCCTTAAAGATTATTGTTTCATTCTTGGCTAGTGATTTGAAAGGTCACTTGCGATTATTAAAAAAGTTACATCTATTTCAAAACACTGGTTTCTCATCTCCACTTGAAAAATGGTGGGTTTTTTTTCTTTTTCTTCTATCCAGAGTGGAGATGGGAAACGAGAGGGGAGGGGATGTATCGATGGGAAACGAGAGGGGAGGGAAACACAAGATGTGTCTATGGAGATCAAGAAAAAGGTACGAAAATAAACGTTAAATGTAAAATAAAATAAATCAATTGCAGTAGATTTAATGCAACAACTTTTATAAACCATGAACCCATGGACTCATGGGATCAAGTAAATTGGTGTATGACTGTAGTTTTATTAATAAAAGTTTATCTGTGAGTTGAATTAAACTGAGCTAACTGAGCCAACTGAGCTGTGCTAAACAAAGGTGTCCTAAACTGAGCGTTTCCTAGCTAATAGAACTGAATGGGTTTCATTAAAAAATCATCAAAAATATAAGATACTCTTGCAATCTTACTCTCATATATCCCACTTAATATCAACTTTGTCAATAATGTCTAATATCTCATTTGCCAAAAGATCATCAACGTTCCTCAATTCATCGCAAAATGTTAGAGACTGATCTCGTTCAATAGTTTGAAGTTTTTCATTTATAGAATCCAGAGTCACCGTTGAATCGGTTGAACTAATTGAACTATTCTTTGAATGTGTTGATGTCGAGTTTTTGCAATTGAAATTATTTATGTCAGGTAATGGCGGAATTATTGCTTCTTCGTATATACAAAAAGTTTCCTCAACTGGAGAAAACACGGCCGATAATGGCGTTAGATTACCGCCAAATTGGAATTCCGGCAAAATCGTGCGAGGTTCTGTGTTCCTTCTAGGTTTAGTTTGTTGATTTAGTGTCATTTGGCTGTTGCTAGTATTGTTATGGTAGTGGCTATTGTGATGCGGATGGTTCAAGTGGGTTTGCTGATGGTACAGGAGACCCAGTTTACTTAAAGGAAGCGATAACGAGCGTGACCTTCGTAAGGAAGCAAAGGGCTTTGTTGGTAATTGATGGTCAAAATGTGAAGAGTCTTGTAGCAAAGGTGAACTCGAAGTGGATTTACTCTGGTTTAATAATACCGGTGTCAATGATTTATTATTTGATGAAAAGTCATTCTTTCTTGATTTTAATTTCGATATGAATTTCTGTTTCAGGTTATGAGGGTTGCAATGTTCCTGGTTCATTATGACTAGCCACAGGTCCATTCTCTCTCTCTCTCTCTTTCTATCTCTAAGAAAAGGGAAACTTATTTTTTTTTAAAGGAATACGACTACAAGAAAATGAATATAAATTTATATACATCTATCAACCGCCCACTCTATTCACAGCTCTCTGTCTCTCAAACTCTCTCTCTCTTTATCATTCTACCTCTCTTACTCCTTCATCTTACCTCTCGCTATCATTATCTCCCACAATAATAAGCTTAAACAAGATTTAAAACTTACTTTTTTTTTGTTTTTTTTGTTTTTTTTTTTGTTTTGTTAGTGAAATCTACTACATCGGTTCAACCCTTATTCGAAAATTATTTTGATCATCAGGTAAGGTTTGGATTAAAAAATTCATTAGAAAGTAGGACAAAGGTAAAAATCCACACAAGACATTATTTATAAAAGAGTATTGTGTATTTGTTTACCATCACCCCAGTTCCAAAAATACAAGAAATCTTAAATAAGGGTCGATAAAACTCAAAAGATACTAGACCGTAAACTACTACCAACCACGAGAGTGATGTTTTATAAAACCATAAACTACCAACCATGGTGAGTGGTGTTTTATTAAACCATAAACTGCTAATCATGAGAGATGTTTTACCAAATCATAAACTACTAACCATGAGAGTGATGTTTTATTAAACCGTAAACTACAAACCATGAGAGTAAAGTTTTACTCTCCTGATGACTCTAATATAGCTACTTAACTACCAAAACCATCTTTTACATTAGAATCTTTTTTTTTTTTTTTGCAATTTCTACCCGCTTACATATACTCCAGGTTTTTTTTTCTTCCCCTTTCCAGCTTCCCCTTCTTTCCCCCTCTTTGTCTTCTTCAATCCCGTAAGCATATTTGGTTTTTACGCTCATTTGTTCCATAAACTTGTTAATTTTGAAGCTCTTTTCCTCAATTGGATCTAGCCCTAGTCTTACAATTTTGCAGTCTTGTTGCAATTTGTAGTGCTTTATTATTGGTTTGTGTTTTCTCATAGAACAATAGAAAATAATGTCATTACATTCTTTAGTTAAAGAAGGAGTTTTAAAAAAAATTCTATATAGATAAAATAGACAATACAGGTTAATGACAGACCTGAATCAAATAAGTCTACATTAACACGGGCTTGGCCTAATAATTAAAAAAAAAAAAAAAAAAAAAAGAAAAAGAAAAAAAAAAAAAAAAAAAAAAAAAAAAAAAAAAAACAATGAGTATTTCAACTGATTGAGAAAGTCGTTGAAGAATATATTAATAATAAGCTCCATATTGAGGTATCTTTGTCCTTTTGAAGAGCCCGCGCCCGTTTTGCCTGCATTGCCTGCTTTGTCTCTGCGGACCCCATTTTCTTTATTTTCGTAGTAGGAGAGAACTAAGAGAAAAAAAAAAGAAAAAAGACTTGTTATCCATATGCCATTAAATAAAAGTCTAAGAACAACGTTACTAACATTAACCTGGCTTCCGGTGCTTTACACTTTCACCAACCATGGTTACCAGCCATATCAAATTAAAGGACTGTCAATGACGCCGGCTTTCAACCCGGGAACATCGTCTACTACGAGAGATATAGTATTAGTACAGAAATTCGACATTAAATCGAGAAACGACTCTATTGCAAAAGGTGATATTATAATGTTTAGATCGCCCCTTGATCCAGAAAAACTACTAACAAAAAGAGTTATTGGCGTAAATGGAGATCATGTCCATCCAAGGTCTCCACGATATCCCAAGCTGGAAGTGAAAATACCACGAAACCATCTTTGGGTCGAAGGTGATAACAGTTTCCATTCTGTTGATTCGAACGAGTTTGGACCTATTAGTAAAGGGCTAGTTGTGGGGAAAGTAGTAATGGTGCTATGGCCTCCTAGTCGTTTGGGCCAGGATTTGACGAGGTCAATATAAATTGTTGTATAGAGAAAACAGATTAATAAATGAATCAAAGAGTATGGCGAGTTAGCTAGAGGTTTTTTTTTTTCCTTCTCTTTTTCTTAATCATAACATCATGTATTTCTATTACAATATTAAATTTTTAATGAGCTTGCATAACCTCCATTATTAACACGTATACAGCTCCTGAGTATATATATATATACATATATCTCTCTCTTTCCTTCTCGTTCTCTCTCCACTACTCTATCAGGACCACATCCTTTTTTTCCTACTTATCTACCCTTTCTTGATTCAACAATGTGCAAGATAAGGACTGGGACGAAAGCTGTAGCAGCCATTAAGATAGCCATGAGACTGTAAGCCATTGTGAATCCCATTGTAGCAAACATAACTGGAAGGAAAAATGTGGCAACAAAAGCTAATATCTGTCTAACGAAGGAAATGAACAAAATAATATCACTTGCCATGACTGGGTTGACAGTGATACAGTAGGAAATCAATGGTGCAGTGATAATCTGTAAACCAAAAGCACAAATTGCCAAACCTACTAATGGGGTAATGTTATATTCGACAATTGCATCTATCTGGTAACCGAAAACAATGATACCAATAACAGAAGTTGCGAAACCTGGGTAAGTAACCCAAAGTCTAAAGGAGTTACCTTTATTGTTTCTTGCTCCATAAGCTTGAAATTTATCTGACGCATAACCACCAACTTCACCAATAATAGTACCAATCAACAAACCAAGGAACTGCAAACCTAAAGCTTGTGGACCCATACCGAATTTAACATACATAACTTCGGGAATTTCAACATTTGTAGCGATATTGTCAAAGGCGAAACAAACAGCATAAGCCAAAGTAGCAGCAAAGATTCTCCAGTGACCAAAATAGGTGAATGGGTTGACAATGGTTTTTAGGTCAAGCTTGAATTCTGGAATAATAGCTTTAAAACTAACCAATTGTTTGAATCTATTTGTTTCGTTCCTGGATAAGTCATTATAGTTGAATAAAGTTTCTTTACCAAACAAAAGGTATGCAACAACTTGAAAGGCATTGATAGCAAGAAAGACAAAGAAAACAACACGAACAGGCTCACGCTCAGCAACAAAACCCATAAACAAAGCACCAGCCATGGTACCCAAGTTGACAGCTATAGACCAGACACCGCTCATAACACCTCTTTGATGACTAAAAGTTAATTCATTAACAACGGCACCACCAACGGCCAAACCTGGGGAAATAAAAACAGCTTGTAAACTTCTCATGGCCATCATCACACCATAGCTGTTACTATAAGCACCTCCCAAGTTGAAGAAACAAGCACCCAATGCGGAAACGATCATCAATTGTCTCTTTCCGTATTTCTGCATAAATGGCACCCAAAACAACGGGAAAACACCAATCAATAAAATTTGAACACCGACCAAATAACTTGCCGTAGCAGTAGTGATACCAAATTGAGCGGATAAAACACCTAGCGTTGGAACTAAACCAGAAGCACAAAAAGTTGACACAAACGCATGGAAAGAAATCATTCCCACTTGCGTATATTTCGTTACTTTTGACCAATTCAATGGATCATCATCATTCATTGATGGGATAGGATCCAATTCATAAGTTCCATGTTTGGCAATCAAATATTGTTTGTGTTCTTCAGTTAACTCTGATGTACTTTTCTCTACCTCATTAGTTGGGATACGCTCAACTACAGAAGTAGTCAAATTCTTTTCATGGTCAGTATGTGAAGTTGAAGAAGTTGGCGAGACCATCTTAACTATTGATTGTAATTGTTGAAGTCAAATATAATTCAGATCACTTGTAAAAAAAAAAGAAAAAGAAGAAGAAAAAGTATACAAATGCCCGTATATTTGTAGTTCAAGCTTCTATAACCCGGAGAAGGTATATGGTTGATGATGAAGAAAAAAAGGTGGGGTAACGAAGAGAAGTGATGAAAAAAAACCCACAGCTAGCACATCGATGACTTTGGTATAAGCTCTTCAGGTTCTTTCACTTTTCAAATACTATTTCTTTTTCCTTTCTACTCCAAAACTAAACACAAAGGAGGGGCAGAGAGAAAGATAAGTTGATTTGTATATTATCTAGCTTGGTGAAAAAATAGTAAAACAAAAAATTTTTCTTCTTTTTGGAAAAAAAAATCTACCGAATGGAAATTGAATAAAGTAGATACAAGACTGTAATCCCTCCTCCCCCCCCCCCAAAAAAAAAAAAAAAAAAAAAAAAATAAAAAAAAACAA